CTAACATATGGACCGGAAATACGAGTGGAAAACAAATCCCTATTAATCCGATTATTATCTTTTATATAATCACACAATTAGTTTGCTATCAGTCTTTTTGTCACCTTAAAGCATTTTTAAATATCTTATTAGTTTGGCTTAATTCGGCAAGCTATAGTTTCCTAAAAGAGCCGAAAAACATAAAACAAAAGTCTTATATCTAGCTCGGCTTTCAGTTTTCGATATTCAAAGTAAACCATCCGAATGTCTATATGAAAAACAGTAAAGCCAATTAATACATTTGGACTTAGTCTTAGGAATACTTTGATAATCTGTGATTTGCACTCGTCCAAAAATCGGAACTTAAACTGAAACGTGTATGACATGTGTGGCTTCCCCTTTCCGATCATGCACCAATCCGATTATTTGGTCATCGACGGAAAGTTCTCTGATCGGAGTCGGATCGGATAGATGTGTCCCGACCTTTAATCATGTTCTATTAGCTGGAATTTGCTTCATTAAATTAAAAGTTTTAGTTGGTCAAGGAAGCATAACTGTACTAGTCTCTGTCTATATTTCAGGATTCCTAAAAAATAAATGCACCGTACTAGTAACCCATCAGTTGCAATATCTGAAGCACGTATCCCGAATCTATGTGATGGAAAATGGAAGGATTGCAGCTAATGGAAATTACCAGGAGATCCAAAACAGCGATGGTGAATACGCTAAAATGTTCAAAGCGCAGCTGGAAGAAGAAGATGAAGCTAGCACTGAAGGCGGTGCGTATTTTTAGCAACTGATATCAGCAAAATAATACGTAAGTTCCATATTTTCAGTGTCTAAACCTCATTATCATTGTGAGCCGGTCGAAGAGGAACCAACGGAAATCAAAGAGTCCAGAGCAACTGGTTCCATAGCAGGAAAAGTGTACAAGGCATATTTCAAAGCTGCTGGCGGCTGGTTTTCAGCCGCTTTGGTCCTAATTTTATTCGTCGTTACGCAAATGGCTTCCAGCGCTGCTGACTACTTCATCAAGTTCTGGTAGGCTAACAACAAATCAAATAAAAAAATAGTACTCCACTTAAAACATTTTTCAGGGTTAATTTGGAACAAACCCGTTTCGAACAGAAGACCAAAAACGAGAGTCTCTACAAATCGTTCGCTGATGAGGTCTTTCTGGAAGAAAACTACAACAAGGTGATTACGATCGGGATCAAGGAAGTGGAGAAAACGTCGCTGGATGCCTTCTTCAACACGAACGTGTGCTTCTACATTTACACATCGATAATTGTCTCAGTCATAGTGGTAACGATTGTGCGATCCATCACTTTTTACCAGTTCTGCATGTTGGCTTCAGTGAGGATGCACAACAGCATGTTTGAAAGGTAACAGAAACATGTTTCATCTCAAAATAAAAACATATAAAGATGCTTTCCTCAGCAGCTGCGCTCGAATATATATTGCCTACCAAACTGCCGACGGCATTTTCCAATTAATTTCCGGATCATCCGTCTTATAAGGAGGCTTATTTACTGTTTCATTTCAAAATGTAATTTATTGCCGTTTGGCTTTGCCATATCCTTTAGTCATGTGTATACTTATAAGATGGAGATTCTTGACTTTTTGCCCCCAATTAAAATTTCCCGGATTCGTTGATTATTTGACTTTCCGGTACAATTAATAAAGAAAAGCTCTCACTCGAATTAATTAAATAACCAATTGAAATTAAGTGTGTATTTTTTTAGAATTACTAATGCTACGATGAGATTTTTCAACACCAACTGCTCAGGACGAGTTCTGAACCGGTTTTCCAAAGATATGGGGGCCATCGATGAAAAACTTCCCTATGTTCTGATCGACACAATACAGGTTTGGAAGCCATTAATAATAAAACAAAACGTAGTAAATTTTATGGAAAATATGCTTCAACGTCCGCAACATATTTCAGAAAAAGGACGGGATAAAAATGGGTCATCAGGCTTATGTAACTAAACGAAAATTTATTTCATGTTTGACGTGCTTTGCAGTTGACCAATCACATAAGTTGCAAAACACACCCACTTAGTTCTAGTTAAATTGAGTATAAATGGAAGTTCATTCATATTTTCTGTGCCTTATTTTATGCAAGCTGTACGGAATCAGCAGATGTTTCTCACCTGAAAGTGTCGCTTTTCTTGAAAACATAAAGATGATATGGAAAGTTTTATGGAAATTTGAAGTCAATGTAAACTTGCTCAGAGCAATTTCTTTGAAATGAAGGCGCCCAAACAGAAGCTAAAATACATATTTTACCAAGTTTTGCAAGCATTTTGCGTACATTAAGTATGTCCAGAACGATCGGGAGATTATCGAGCTTAGCAAGCAAGATTATCCAGCAAAAAATATTCTAGTCTTTTTATTTTCAATCATTGTTGTGTTTTTTAAATTATTGCCTGTAAAAGTCAGTTTTGCAACAGTTTGATATTCCAGTGACCATTAGAAAATGTTCAAGAATTTTTCAAACTATCGTCTGGTTTTCTTGGTGGTTTTTGCAGGCCAGAGTCTAACATTTTTTTCGTCGGTAACATGCAAAGTTAGGGAATCAATTTCGAATATATTTTCGAACGCGCATTTCCTTCTATACGGCAACAAGGTTTCAATTTTCAGTCATATTGAGGCAATTTCAGACGATTTTTCAAAATTGCTTTTGTGTTACGACGTTGGCATTTATTTATTCAGAAACTGATGAAGTGAGAGAGATACTTTTGTATATAGTTTATAGGGCAAAGTCTGGTTTTTTKAATTGAAAAATGAGGCAATTTTCAAGCRTCTGGTTTCCGTTTAAAACAAATTATGTGTAACGTAACTCAGTTTAAAAACTTGAATGCATGAGAAACGGCGTTAAAAATCTGAAACCACTTTGAAAACACTGCTTAGATTTTTTCCGATGTTCATTATCTTGAGCATCTTGAACCAACTACATTTTACACCTAAATTTTTCGGAACACTTTGTTATGTTATCGCCAAACAAATGGGGATTTGTGAATGGCTAGCGTGTCTATCGATTAACCTATTTGCAAACAAACCTGAAAAACTGATTTTAGAATACCCTCCATATTGTTCAACACAGGACATTTTTCTCGCAGAACKAAAATAAAATATTTTTTTGGCAAATTYCTRCATACCCTAAAAGACACTCTTTTCCAGATAGCCCTTAACGTGTTAGCAGTAAATGTTGTGATTGCCACTGTCGATCCCTGGATCCTGATTCCCACTTTCGTGATCGCCTCCATGTTCTATGTGTACAGGATTGTGTTCCTCAAAACCAGCAGGAACATCAAGCGAATGGAGGCCACAAGTATAGCAATTTCCGCTTCTTCCCGCTTTTGAAGAGTTTCAAATGTTTGCATTTTCCAGCTCGCAGTCCAGTTTTCTCCCACATCAACGCCTCACTGCAAGGCCTGACCACCATCAGAGCTTTCGGGGCGCAGGAAATCCTGCGGAAGGAGTTCGACAACTACCAAGATATCCACAGTTCAGCCTTTTACATGTTCCTGTGCTGTAATCAAACTTTTGGGTTCTGGCTGGACTTTCACTGCATTATCTACGCCGCTTTGGTCACATTGAGCTTCTTCTTCATAGGAAATGGTAGGTTGCAACACCAGTTGCCATTGAGGACTAACTTGGAGAATTTGCTCATTTTTCAGAAACTTATGGAGGAAATGTGGGTCTAGCGATCACACAAGCAATGAGCTTAACGGGGATGTTTCAATGGGGCATGAGGCAGTGGAGCGAATTGGAAAATCACATGACATCAGTGGAACGAGTGGTGGAATACACTGATATTGAGCAAGAAGCCATTGGCAACGAGATGGCTCCATTGAAAACATGGCCCGAACATGGTCAGTTGGAGTTCAAGTCGGTTTATTTGAGGTCAGTATATTGCCCAGGCAGAGCTTAATTAAAATATTAACCATTGTTTGACAAATCCCTTTCAATATTCAAGAGCCTGATAAAATGCAGGTAATAAATCAGCGACAGCAACCTGAGATTTATTTGCAAATATATCACCAGTTGGTGTTCCCATGCGTAACAGTAACTAATAAGCTGAAAGCATTCAGCAGAAGTAAATGTCTGTGAAAATGTGAGACGACGAGATAGTTGGAAGCCAGTAAACAGGCTGGCACTAATAATAATAAAAAGCTTTAAATAAAGTCAATAGAGGCTGCAAAAAACGGTGTTTGCGAGCCGTGAATGACAAGGGTAAAGGACATACTTGGGAAAAGCACAGTTGTTCTGGAAATATAATAAATATAAAGAACAGCGTGAATTGATGAATGAAAAAGTGGCGCTTTGTTTCAGATATGCCACCAACGAACCATACGTTCTCAACAACTTGTCCTTCAGAATTAAGCCTAAAGAAAAGGTGGGCATTGTGGGCAGAACAGGCGCTGGAAAATCCTCCATTATGACTGCATTGTTTCGCCTCGCCGATGTTGAGGGCAAAATCATCATTGATGGAATCTGCACTAAGGATATTCCATTGAAAACTATGAGGTCGAAGATATCGATTATTCCGCAGGAGCCGATAATTTTTGCTGGTGAGTGGTGGCACGATTTTTTATGGTCAGTTAAAAATCCTAAAGTTTGTACTTGTCAGACTGGACTGAGTCAATGCAACAGTAGATTTCGAGCAGAGTTTGCTAGAAAAAGGTAGTGGTCTGATTTGATTTCAATAGACTTGATTAGGCGCTGAAACACACAGTTTCTACTATATATTTCTAGGCAGAATGATGTGAATAAGGTCGCAAGGCACGTTTTGCCGTTTAGGGAAACTTTTCCGCGTGTTTCAACCTCAGTAACCAATCGGCTCAATCGGATTTCATACTTCCAAATCCAGAGAAGAATTAATCAGCAAACTTTCGCAATCGCTGAAAAGTCTTAGGACAGTTTGAATTCTGCCCGGGATCGCCCTCATTAAAATTCCAATGATCCAGACGACTCCTGTAGAAATAATTACGTTCCGGTTTGTTATTCCCAGATTTTTTAACCAACCTCGGTAATGAGAAATATTTATGAAGGTTTTTGTTACTGGAAATTGCGCGTTGCCGGTGTCATAATTTCCCGGTAATTGTTTAGGTCGAATTACTAAGGCGGGCCATTTTCCAGATTTTATGTTCAGCTGAATAATCCAAGGTGTGGATTTTGCCATTTTTCGTTCCAGCGCAAGTAAACTAAATGGCTTCAGTTCAGAAAAAGTGTGACTATATTGCCCCCTTTCCTTCTGCTTGCACAGTGTTTGGGGATTATTTTGCTTTTCACTATCCTGCGTTTAAATTGGCAGAGTTTTTTGCCCGAAGCTTTTCAGGTATCCTTTTGTTTAGCCAGGGCAAGCCTAATCTGGTTATTCGCCACTGTGGGCGAGAAAGTTGAAATTAATTTATTTAAAAAATTATACCACAAAGTTACGTCTAGTTCTGCATTTGCAACATGATTTTTTTGGGGATTTGCTTCACTGAAGAGCACAAATGCCTAAACGAAAAACAAAGAGATAAATAAATATTGTCTAACGATTGGTGAACAGCTACGTTAGTGAATGTAGTTACAACTTAAAACGTACCAGAAAATTGTTTGAATTTATTTCCATGTTTGATAATTCTTTCAAAAATATACTGAATTGTTATTATAGGAACATGTGTTTGTTATCAGAGGATTTCAGACATTGAAAAGCTATATTTTTAATTCGAAATAATACACTCATGGTTTATAATTTATCATTATTTTAAATTAATTATTACCTTATGAATACAACAATACAACACTTCCAACAATATGAATTTTCCAGGTACACTTCGCTCCAACCTGGATCCATTTGGCAAATACGAGGATGAAGTGATCTGGAATGCCCTGGAAGAAGTGGAGTTGAAAGAAGTGGTTTCTGAACTCAAAGGAGGTTTGGAAAGTAAAGTTTCGGAAGGGGGCTCGAACTTTAGCTTGGGACAAAGGCAGTTGATTTGCCTGGCTAGAGCTATAGTACGCAACAACAAAATCCTGGTTTTGGATGAAGCCACTGCCAATGTGGATCCAAAAACTGATGCTCTCATCCAGTCGACCATCCGCAGAAAGTTTGCCGATTGCACTGTGTTAACAATAGCTCACAGGTATATGAACACATAAAAATATTCTTCATATCAACGCTTTAATGTAAAACCCTTCTAAATCAAGCGCGCAGCTTCTTTGGATCATAGAGAATAAAACATGAAAAGCATTAAATTCTTCCGGACATTGACAAAACGTTATTTCCCTGGAGGCTCAACCTCTATTCCGTGCGCGACTTTTTTCAGTAAAACTGAATAGCTGATGGAGCCCAGTTAGTAATGGCTTTTACTTCAGTGAATCGTGACAAATTTCACTGAACCTTGTCGATCCTTACCTCGGAAGAAAATTATTTTTTGCTGGATTGTTTCGTCTAAATGCCCCAGTTAGAGAACAGAGGAGAGTTTCGTGATTCATTAAAGCTACATTTATTACATGCGCCTCGATTGGTCTCTAAATGGTTTCCAAAAGAGCTGTTATAGAGTTGGATAACTTCAGCAGTGAAAGTATTGGCGCAAATTTCATTATTCTCAATTTCCTCCAGTCGTCATTCGTCAACAGTTTTGTTGGAAACACAGAAAAATGACAAGAGAAAGGCTTGGAATTTGGTTCAGATTGGATTGTTTGGATTAAAAGCTCAACAAGCACTTAATTTCCTCATTAAGTAATTTTCTTTCTAGATTGATCACAATTATGGATTCTGATAAGGTGTTGGTCATGGATGGAGGAGAAGCAATTGAGTTCGATTATCCTCATATATTATTACAGAATCCACATGGAGTGTTTTATGGCCTAGTAAAAGAAGCTGGCAAGGCCGGAGCAGAACAACTGGCAAAAATCGCAAGACAGGTAAATTTCCCTATACGGGCATGGGGAATTTCAAAGATTTCTGGAAACGTATTTGCCTTTAGAGTGAACTACTGCTGAATCTATTTTTATTTTTGTTTCATGAAAACTCAAAGTTACGTTTTTCGGTTTTTTGAACATTAATATTCCAAGTTTTCCGTAAGAATTTCCTGCTCGCATGAGTTTGGCCTTTGTAGCATACTCAGTCCTCACAAAGCGCTTCCGGATAGAAATTGAGTGGCAATACAAAAAAATACAACATATATCGTAATTTTTGTTACTTTGACGTCCTCAAAGGAATCTATACAATTTTTACAACATTGGTGGATGTTTCCCAACTCAACCTCAAAGTGTTTTAGAATGCTCAGAAAAATGTATTTGAAAATTAGGATTTGAAGGTCCATAAAAGCGACATTTGAGGCAAATTATCTGTTAGCATAAAAAAGCGTAAAAATTCTAAAAACTTAACAGTTTCAAGCAATGGCCACCAAAGCATCACTTTGTTGAGTTATCGAGTAATTTGCTTGAAACTGATTAAAGTTTCGATTGGTAGGATCTTCAACCATTTTCTGCCTTCAGTGGCAAACATCTTTGTAAGACAATAATGCAAGTCTGAATAAGCCATTCAAGAGACGACCAAATACATTATTCACCAAAACGGCCTTAAAACATGAGAAACTCACCAGTTTCAAATCATCGGTTATACTACTAAAAAACCTCAAGATTTCGATATTTACACAACTTAACGCTATTTAGCCTGTTTTGGAAAATAACAAGCAAACAAATCTAAAAGGTCCAATACCAAAAATTAGTATGCAAAACAACGAAACCTCTTTTGGCTTACCGTAAGCATTGAAAAATAACCGAACTGGAATACAAGAGGTCAATTTTCATCCGCTGATTAAAAACTTTGCGATAAATTCGTTCGTTTTAATTAAAAAATCGTACACCATTGACGTTTAAAACAATCCAGCCATGAAAGCCGGCATCGAATAAAGTTCGAAAAGCTGTCTGTGAGCTTTCTGCTATTAATCGGGATCACGCAGTCTTTTCAAGCCAGCAAACGATAGGATTTTCCATTAAGTTTGTGGATATGAAATGACTCTGTTTGAGCTTTGCTGGGCACTTTCAGGTCTATTGAAAACTTGTAATTTTCCTCAATTCGTTTTGTAAAAAATGGCAGGCATTGAGATTTCGAGCCGTTGAAGCACTGATTCTCTTCCAGACCTTTTGCAAGCATCATCCATCTGGATCTTCAGAAGCAGCTGCTACCAGCCCCACATTAAACTGGCCGGCTAAACAAAGTCGACTTGGTTTCAATAGGTTTTGCCGAAAACAGCAGTCCAAAAAACCAAACAAATTTTAATTCATTTAGAAATCACAAACAGATTTTGTGCACTTCACTTCAAATACAAAGTGATGAATGGAATTAATTGCAGCTTCGAAAATTGAAAACCATCCGAGTGAAAAGCTGGCTTTAAAATACAATATCAAAATAACCAAATTCCCGTCAACAACTGAGGCGAATCTAATTGAATATTTCATATTAAACATGTTTCGAAAATTGCTTCAACTCGCATTTTCAGCGTTTTTAAGCAAAAGAAGTGTCGATCTTTAAACGAGTTCAAGCAGGGGCGCCTCTAAACAAATACCTAATGAAAAAAATTGAGCGGCAAACTGGAAGTGTTCCCAAATTACATTAATTTTGGCTCTTATTAGGCCGATTTCATTAAAGAATGGTTCTATTTCAGAGATACGAACAAGCTCAAGATCATCAATGAATTAAATGAATTACGGTTCCGTTGAAGATTTCCAGGATTTTCTCAGGTGTGTGAACCACCTCGTTCTCTATAGTTTAAGGCCATAACAATACCATCAAAACTTTATTACATTATGACTTCTAGTATGTATGTTAATAACGATTTTTATTTGTTTTTTAATTTTATTTTTGTTGCATCTGCTTAGCAATTAATTGCTGTTGTTCCAAAACTGTGGTAATTTACTGCACTTTATAATGACTTTTTACAGTTATCGCACGCTTTTGTAAATACATCACGATTTTATTGAGCAAAAACTACTACTGATATATGATTGTAAACCACTTAAGGATCACGCCTGTTAAAATTATTTTACTTCTGGTACCTTGAGTTATATTTTTAGAATTTGGTGATATTAACACAGAAAGATACGTTTTAAAGACAAGGTGAAAGAAAAAAAGGATAAAAAAGGTACAAATAATTTATTCATAAATTAGAAACTTAAGTGCGCACGAATGCTGAGTAACTTACTATTAGGATTCATTCTCAATAGTATTATTCATAGTTTAGGAGATATAGTTCAATTGTTTGTTTTATTTATATTTTTATTCCTATTTTACTTGAAAATATATGTAATTTTTATATACTCTAAAGCAGTTTTTTATTAACAAACAGAAGCACTCATCCAAACAAACAAGCAAACCAAACTCAATCAACGAAGGAAAAATACACAACTAATTAAAGGTTTTTGTGAGTGGTGTAATACAATCCTAAAACTGTTGTCTGTGGGGCCAGTGAAAAAAATTTACAATGGAAGAGTCAAGTTTTTTTTGCCTTCCAAAGCTCAGTAGATTTACGGAGAAACTCTACACCAACCAGAAAGTGAAAACGCGTAGCTGAATTTCGGCGCCTGATCAAGTTTTTCCGTCAGTTTCGTCGGAAACTTCCACCTAACCAGCTGCAAAATAGCAAAGTTTCCTCCTGAATGCCCATTCGCGTTTCGCACAATAAATCACTAAAATGGTAACCAGCAAATTTTCGTTAAGCATATTATAAGCCAAGAGTGAAATTCTGAGTGATTTTTTGCGATTTTTATGAAGCATTTTTAGACTAATTATTTTTTTGGTGCAGTGAGTTCGCTAATTTTAACGGCGAAATTTACTTGATAAAGTAAGTGAAAACTAATTTAATAGCAAAATGTTTAGCTCTCTAAACGAAAAGTTGCTTTCAATGGTTTTAAGTGCAATTTAATAATAATTGCCCCTAAAATATTCTATCTGCTAATTAGAATTATGTAAAGAATCACAGTGTAAAATATAATATCTGCTTTAAATTCATATGTACAATCTAGTGTTTAGGAGCAGAACAATCGGCCAATTAGTGGTATTTGCGTGAAAAGGTGTCGCATGAGGCGAACACAACTCTGAAGATGCTGGCCATGCGTGCTAGCGAAACGTCGGTACTAAATATCTACTGAGAACGACCTATAAACCAAAAAATCGCTGATTGCTCAAATGTGATGAATTCAGAGTGTTTCTTGTGGATACCTAAACTGCCAGCGAAACTTTAAAATAAAATTGGTATCAATGACCATCTCAAAACCCGAAAGTTCTCGATTGCTCAAACAAGGGTGCAAAATCCTTGTTTGTTTTTCAATCTGTTTTAATATTACATTTCATGCCAATATGTCAAGGAATCTGAATTTTCCTTTTAAAATGTCGCGGCAAATTTAAAATTATGTTCAAAACTATTCCTAAAATCCTCAAATGCGCAGTTTAGTGCAAAATATTTCCTTCTCTCATTCATAACTAGAGGAAACATCGTCATAAAATATAGTAAAAGGCGCGACTGCCCTGCATAACATTGTAAGAATATGTAGAACCGCTGTTTCCAAAGTTGAAAGTTTTGGAAGCTTAGTGATTAAATTAGAGTGCAAAGAAATGACCGTAATTTTTACGCAAAAGATACTGATAACAAATTCTCGATTATTTACAAGACTTTTATTGAAACCGACTTAATAGCTAAACGTGCTTAAATTGAGTTAAACAATTAGAACAACACAATAAATTTACGAGAAAAGTCTACAGCAACCAGAAAGTGAAAGCGCGGTGCTGAATTTCGGCGCCTGGCCAAGTTTTTCCGTCAGTTTCGTCGGAAAGTTCCATCTAACCAGCTGCAAAATAACTAAGTTTTCTGCTGAATGTCTATTCGCGTTTCACATAATAAATCACTAACATGCTAACCGGCGATTTTTTTTGAGCGAATTGTAAAGCAAGAGTATATTAACCATTCCGATGGACGATTGGATGGATTTTCATAAAAAATCTGTTAACTGATTATTTTTTTAGTGCAGTGTCGWCGRAATTTACWTGSTAAAGTAAGTCAGATTCTTTTCAGAGTTAAATTTTTGTCTTACCTAAGCTGAAATTGCTGTCAATTATTTTCCCTTAAGTTTGGCTTAAAAACTTGCTTACCGAAGAACTMTATTTAGAGCTKCCTGATTTTATTCCYTCATCTTYTTAACCTTGCTAACRAATGTTTAAYARWAATGTTTTTCTCCCGAYCAAAAATAAATGGATAACTGACCTATAGACCTTAAAACAGATAACTGGAATTACCTTATCCTCCGGYTAAAGCCAAATCTGCTGAAACCATCTCAACTATGTCAGCTAAATTGTCAGATAAATTAAACTTGTTCCTGCTGGTTTGCCTCAAGTTATAGCGACGAGACAACATTCCGTCTAGCTTTATTAGCCCAGCTATTTCACAAGGCGCTGGAAAATTAGCTGCTGATGCAATATCCAGGAAAATATTTCCTCGATTTTAATTTAAGCCTCTTTTGCAAACCGCTCTATAACTCCAGAGCGGAAATAAGGCGTTAAAAGCTCGAGGATTAGCCGAAGAGTGGCTGAAAAACGCTCGATCCTTTACAAAGCAATTTTTGGCTGTGCGAAAAAGCTACAAATACATATACAAAGAAAATAGTTGAAATAGTCCTTCTTTGAGGCTAAATTGGATGCGGCTAGCGGTTAGTTCTTGCTTTGGAATGCAATTCTTTGCACAACAAGAAAAGTTAAAAAAGTTTAAAATGTATGAAGCAGCTTTATAGCTCCCAAGCGCTTTAGTGGCATTTTGCTTGGAGAGCTGTTAAAGACCTTAGTGTCCATTCGAGAGCGAAATGGAAACAATAATTGCGCAAATGTTACGTTTACAGCCAAATAACACTTCATTAAACATAAAAGCATGGCAAACAGTTGATATCAGGACTCTCCAATAAAGTTGCAGATGAAAAGATTGATGGCTACTCTGGATGGATTTATTAAAACGGGTTAATATCCATGTTCCAGACCGTCAATGGAATTGACAGGAAATGAGTAGTTTATTGGATTATAAGGGTCGTTCAAGGAGTTGGGGATCAAACTGTTCAGTTGCCATTTTATATGGGTAGATAACATTTGGAAATTGTTATCCAACGCAAATTTGTAGGAGCTTAGAGAAATGCTTTTGAAACGTTCACGTTATATGAATAATTGTTGCAGCTAAACGGATCTATTGCCTGCCATAAACACTAAATATTTATTGGTTCATTCGATCACTCGTAATTGAGACACGTTCAATGTGATAATCAGGGATTGATTGAATGATCAGCAGGAAAGTTTAACTCCCAACTATACATTTTCAGTTTGATTTGGGGAAGTTCTATGGCAATCTGATATTGTAATTGAAATTTCGGGAGAAGAATTTCCTTCGGAAATTCGATGCGGGAAAATTGTCCCTAATTATACAAATGGAACATTAAACATTTAAGTACACTAAGTTTGGAGTATTTGCCGAGTGAAATTAAGGATCTTATTATGTACATGGGAATCTTCGTCTCATTTAGTTAAGCACTAATCTACATTTCAATTCCGTTATACAACTATAAGATAGTGTTTCGAGTTTCATGAAAGTGGCTTCAGTTCCAATATCTGGTAAATATTTGAATGCGCCAGGCTAGAGTCCTGAGACACCCGAGGAATTTCCAATTTTCTTTTTTGTACAGTTTAATTATAATTGGCCATGATATGGGCAAGAAGAAGTTTTTCTGATTTTTTTAAATATTACTGACGCTTTTAGGAAAATGGAAATAGAACAGTAATGGAGATTAACAAAAATGTCACTCAATAAGCTGTACTACAAGCAGTATCAAAACATTTCAAAGAACGGTTACTGCTGGCTACAAAAAATGTGTTAATATTTGGTCACTGATTCAGTTTTAAAGCAACATCTGTTCTATTTAACATGAAATTCGAACAATAATAAAGTTGAGGTTTTTTTTCCGAAAATCACTGATTTTATTTGATTATTTGATTCTCTTTTTTATTCCACCCTTAGAAACATATTTATAAAATATAATATAAAGCCTTATATAAAAATAATCAACCCATTTTTCCAGAAAATTAAAAAAATAGAAACGCTAAAATACAAATTTCCGAGAACTTTGAATATTTCTCTCATTCATAACCAGAGTAAACATACTCATAAACTACAATAAGAGTCTTATTTTACCTGCATAAGATTGTAAGATTATGTAGAACCACTATTGCTTGAATGACTTTAGGGAACGTTTTCTACAGTTGAGAGCTTTCGAAGCTTAGTGATTAAGTTACAAGGGAGAACAGAAATGACAGAAATATTTTCCAGAAGACATTGATTGCAACTGATCTTAAATAGATGATTGGAACAAAACCTTCATTAAAACCGCCTTAATAGTTAAACGTAGTTATATAATGCGTAAACAATTACAATATAAATTGCAGTTTACGTTCCAGCTGCTATTCAATATAATGAATTGCCACGTGGGAGTTGTTGTTGGGCCCAAATTTTAATTAAATCTTTTAAACGGGCAATTCCGATTTCTTTCAATTCTAATTTTAACTGAGTAACTAAAATAAAATTAGTTACCTGGTGCAGGTTGGAATGGAGCACAATTTCGAATTTTGTGGGATTTAACTGCAAATAAATTCAGTCAAGTTTTGAAAGCTCCAGGAAACATGGCAAGTTACAAAGTTTTTCCATTGGGCAGTTTGCTAAAAAAATGTCCATGCGCCATAAATTTTTCAAAGTTAAAAAAGACATCGTAAAAACTATTGGAAAATGAAACTGATCAACAACAATCTGAAACATTATCGAGCCCCCTATTTGTTAACGAAGTTTAACACTCTTCGCGGAATTTAAGCTTACCTACGTCAAATCATCAATATGATCTATAATGACACGCCCCATCTTGCTAATTAATACGCCAAGAAAATGTTGCTGTCGATAATATTCACAATTTATGCACGTCTAGGCCAGACCATAAATCGTCTTAATTTTATTATAAATACCGTATATTATGGATGGATTAAAGGCATCACATTATGCTTAATGAAAGTTAGGTATATTTTGCAATCTATTGATCAATAAGCTTTTGCTCAGGGTCGTGATGCTTGAAATAAACTTATTTGCATATCACCAAACAAGGGAACAGAGAATTAATTGCCCGAAATATTGTTGAAGGCAAGCTTGTTGAAATGGGAGCTTAAGAATTACACAGTAACAGCAAATTGCAATGAAACACAGATTATTTATATAAATTAAGAAGCTAAAAATCCTTTTTTGTTTTAGTCCCATTTCCATTATTGATAGACTTGAATATTTAGGGCACTTTTCCCATTGAGATCAGGTATATGTTTGCCTCCAATTACCGATTTCCAATATTATGAATGAAAATTTATAAGCATATTTTGCTTCTGCTAATATTGGCAAATGTTAATTAGAGGGCCATTGTTTCTAAATGGGACAATTTGGAAAATATTGACTTTGATTTTCTGCAGAAATTAGATCAATGGCCTTAGCTGAATTTTATTGCTCAATTTTACCAATATTTCGTCAAATTTGGAAAGCTATAGGCTGTAATTGATTAACATCGATAGAGCAACAATATTCTTTTCTCTATGGGTAATATGTTGAATTTTGTATTGTTTTAGTTGTCGCAATATTTGCCTACTGTTTTCGATAACTATGGCTTTGTGAAAGCCAGAGCTATTTTGATGATTTGCAGTTGGGCGGATGGGTAAATAAAAATAAAGAATATTAGAAAAACACCGTCCCCATAAATTGTAGGAAGTCAGATATTATGCAACGGCGGCTTATTAAAATCACCCACTAATCTTCCGAGCTTGATCATAATTACCATAATAAATTAATCACTTTAGATGAGGTATAGTTCTATCGAACGATGTCAAGTTTATCTGATTGCAAATATTTATGTAAGCCTCATGCATGTTGAATACGAATTGATCTTCAATTTATCAAAGTCAAAAATAAGAATTTATTCAATTGGTTTTTGTCTCTTAAAGTGTATTTTAAAAATTTGCTAGTATAGTTAAGTGTTATAAAGTAGTCGGGAGTATAAAGAGTTAATTTTTTGTAAAAAATATTTTTCTTTGCTTTAGTGCAGATTCCTGATACTTTGGAGAAATATTTTGCTTTAAAGAAAAAAACTCGAAAAACGCCTTTTATAAGAGCTGATAATTTAAAAAAATTTAAGAAAGTACACAGAAATTTGAGCGTAAATCGCTTGCAAAACTCATCAAACATTCGAAAATATTTGGCTAAATTAGTTGAATGGCACAGAAATGCAGTCCACTTATGATACGAGAGTTTAATGACAGAAACTTACAAAATAATAAATACAATTTTAGCTTGGAAAACGTGAAGAGCAAAATCAATTTGTGAATGACTGAACAAAGTATTAATTGCACACAAACAAAAGATAACTACAATTTTATATAAAAAAGTAATTTTACATTGACTATAGATATTTTTAGAAAACTCAAATCTAATCTAATCTAAAGTATAAAAGTATCAAAGGTAAAAAACATTCGTTTATATGGAAGTTCCATTGTGAAAAGTTAGACCGATTTGAGTAGAAATCCAACATCCAACGTATTTTACAATTGGATAAGAAAAAATATTAACTTAACTGGAAAAGTTATAACATTCAAAGAAAACTGAATTCCAACAAAAATACGCTCAGAACAAGCAATTTTCCCAGAACAATTAAGCGATAAACAATTTAAGAAGAACCATTGAGCTCTTGTAATAACAGAATTAGAACATTCAGGCAAAGAAATATTCAAGTCAAAATGCGTGTTATTTCAAAATATTTAAAATCTGTTTCAGGTTGTAGATGAAGTATTTGTTGTATTGACAACATTCTGCAGTCAGAAAAACTTTAAAATTCTTGGTTAAATATGAAGGATTTCAGGCGACCCAAAACAAGAGAAAAATTGCGTTTTAAAAATCTCACTCAAAGTTTCAAGCTTTCCCAAACCAATTTATTAATTAATCAATTAGTCATGCCTTTATTTATTAAACTTACACACTCAATGGTAAGAAAAGCGTAACTTAAAATTGAATTTATCAATTTAAGATTGTGAAAGGAATTATTCAGCAAACCATACACTTTTTAAAATTTCAATTATAAACTAAGGTCTAAATCTAAACCTCTTTGGGTTGTAACAATTCGCCTCAATGCATAAATGTTTCCTTTTGCAAAAATGTATGTAAAGTTTCCCCGAACTTTTAATAGAGTTTCTCTCTCCTAATCTACCTGATCTAGTAAAAACTCACTGTAGACAAAATGCACTCAACCAACAGTAGATTCAATTATAAGCTTCAGACAGCGTTTTTTTGCGCTTCAAGGCTTTATTTCCTTTTATACAAGTGATTTTATCAGGTATATTGCCACTCCAAACCAGGATATCATCAAAGGTGAAGGCCGCCACTTCAACGGGATAAAACCCAATGAAGCACCAGATTTTCACTATTCACCCTGTAATTAGGCGATCATTTAGCATTGGACTGATGTAAATTTTGGGGGCGGGAGGCATTTATATTCCGAGCTTAATTTTGTTAAATTCGCAAATAAATTTGAATTAATTCTGCTTTGCATACTTAGTCGATTACTACAACGATTTAAGATTATTTTCATCCAACGCCCTATGAAAATGAAGATGCGGGTTTTCGCGATCTGATATATAAGGCAATTAAATTTCATCTTTAAGCCGCTCGGGAATTGGAATGATAAAGCTCTCAATAGTCTCATGCGAACTTTCAGTGCTTAGAATTGCACAACCGAAAACGAGAGTTTAGTTTCCAGTTCAAATAATAAATATCACACTTCATGTATTTCCTGAATAAACATTCGCAAGTGGACTTACCGTTCCAATAGACAAAAACGTGAGGCTTCGCATCAAATCACGACTCTTGTGGGCGATTTGGATTGAAAATCTGTACTTTCATACCTGAACGCCCTGGGAAGCAGTGCTTAGAAATCTATTTTTCGGAAAGTTTCTGCAACTGTTCGAGTAGCTCGTGATCAAATAGCTGGCATGCGAAATAGGTTCCAAATTGGAAGCATGTGTGCAAATACAAAACGTCATTTAAGTCGATTTCTTGGTTGAATTTGCAGTTTATTTCACAGGACATTGCACATGCAGCTACGATATCAGTTTCTACAAAGCAAGGAAATGACATGAAATTACATGCGCTTTTGCCCTAAATCAATCAGTTTAATTAAAGGAATTATCGTTAATGTAGGTAACATTACGTTTGATATAAAGGCCCTTTGAACAATTTACTTTAATGCTAATGGGGCTGAATTTGCTCAGCAATTAATAGCGCAGGAAATGCACAAATTTTTTGAATTCAATATTGCTCTAAAATTTCAAAAGTAGGCTCATTATTTTTTATCTATTTAACTAGGCTTATTTCAGATACAATACTGACTTGATTTTTAAAATACTTGACATGAATGGCCTATTTAATTACACAATTAAGCCTCAATGGTGTTGTTAATATTTACCTACAGAGGTTCTCGCACTCCAGTTCGTTGCAAAGCCAATACGAAAAAAATATTGGTAAATAGTGGATGTTTACAGTCGTCAAAAGCATAAGAAGCTGGCAAACATACCGCAGGCAAGGGCTTAATTGTTACCGTTGATATCAAATCAGCTGATTGTTAAATGCAAATTAACTCCAAATCGGTGCTGATCGTTGTGGAATTATTGTGTGTGAAAATGAGTGACTTTAATAGACAATCTTTTCTGTGCACTAGATGGATTTAGTGGGCTTTAGCTGGTAAATTTTGCGTTTTCCTTCTAGTCAGAAAGTTGCTGTGAAAAAACTGCTGGATGAACTCTAAAGGGAGTTAATTTACATAACTGCTCTAAGGAAACCCAATGAATGGCCCTTACGGGTTCAATCTCGGATGGCAATTGGCACTTTAGCGACTACGATTTTGGGATCTTTTAAATGTAATTGAGCCTTTGTTCGGATTCCAATTTGCAGTTGTTTGAAATCGATAAGCCTTTGTTGTTTTGCCCGTCTTGGATTCACAACGACTGGAACGAAAATTTGAGCTAGAATCAGTTCGCTTGATTCGCTGCCGGAAGTTGCTTGAATCCGATTAGTCTCTAATTCGGGGTTTTTATTTAGCTTTAATGAACCAAGTAATCAGCTTATAGCTGGGTTTTTGCCCGTACATCCGGAACTAACTAGAGTTTTCCCCTTTGACTATTAAAATGGAATCCTTCCAATTCATTACAAGTTTCATGAGAAATCCATTGAAAGCTAAAGCAGCCATTTGCGCAAAATTAATTAGTTTAGAAACTAAATTCACTATTAGTCAAGAAACGCTTATAGCATCGAACTATGATAAATTTTTGACTAAAGCTGATTATGTAGATTGCTTGAACCACTTCGGTCCTTATTGTTGGCCGTTCATTACACATACACATGCAAAAGCAAGATTAACCATTCATTCAGCAAAAACGCTTTATTGATTTGATCCAAAAATCCATCAAAATTGATATAACTTTCCGTGTGAATTATCTTCTATTATCTAAAAAAATTGCGTTATCAATCGGGAGTCACTAATTCTGTTCCGATTAGGTTGTTTACTACTTCATTTGATTCTTGGCTAGTTTGTATTGGAAAAATTCCTAAGTTGTGGTTATTTGAAAGCCATCCATTTGTCCTATATTTCGCTGCATGTAACTGGATTGATACATTAGTTTCCAACTGGAAATGTTTAAACTGCTGCTAGTGACTTCACCAAGACAAATTGCCTGCTGATTGGCCCATTGGGAACGTTTCAGTAGGCAACACACAACATAAAATTTTTACGGGTAAAGGCCTGAAAAGCCAGAGAAACTGAACAGCTTTCGACAGAGAATTTCTAACAAAAACCCATCTAGTGGAAATTATAATTTCTTGTGCTTACAGCAACGTAACTTTCCGATGATGATTTTCTCTATTTCTTCTGCGGGTAGCCATGAGAAAAACTTTCTGACAAGTTTCGCATGTAAAACAGCCAAAGAAAATTTTTCAAACTTCACAAACCCCGAGAGCTTTAAACGGATCAAGAACTTCTAATTGCAGTTTGGCTGCTTCCGAACTTTTCAGATTTTAAAGCATCATCAATTAGTGTTTGTAAGAGGATTTTGCCAAAACCAGCATTTTGTATTTGTCAGTTCTTTAATACTACAAAACCTGATTCAATTATCTTAATTACACATCTTATCAACTATCAAGTGAAAGGTGCTTAAGTAGAATGTTTATGCATGGGTTTGGACCCACTTGCATTAATCAATTTTTCCTCTCGGTTTCAGATAATAATGTTCAATGTAACTCAGAATGGTGCTGACTATTCCAACAGGACTGTTTGTGGGAAAAACAACGATACAATCAGCGGTAAGCCAATCAGAATTTTGTTGCAAAGGTCGATTTCACGATTTAATGTTTAAGGTTGGTGTCCGGAAGTATTTGACGATGCATTATGTTGGCCACAAACGCCTCCTGGGACAAGGGCGAACCAGTCCTGTCCGAAATTTGAATCATTTATCACAAATAATCTGGCCTATAAAGACTGTTTAGCTAACGGTTCGTGGTACGTGAACCAGGAAAATGTAACGTGGTCTGACTACAGGGATTGCATCGACTTTGAATCACTCGAGGTATAAAAGACATTTACAAATTGCGTTATTTTAAAATGTCGCCACCGGGATTTTGACACGGAAAAATAACTGGCTTTAGTCAGGAATCGATAGCAGCATTTAAATGTGCAGTTGTGCATACTTCAGGCACTTTCCACCCATAAAACTGTTCTAATTGCGTTCGTTTTTTCAGTTTTATAACTTTATCAACTTCTTGTACGTGATTGGATATGCAGTGTCGCTGGCGGCTCTCATTGTGTCTTTGGGCATTTTTCTATTTTTCAGGTAGGTCAATTTTATTTTATTGAAACTGAACGGCGAATCATACTTTGCTAAATTATGCCAAAAATTAAAGTTTCTTATTGCTCAATCTGGACTGAAGTGTTATCACTCAAAACTTTCAAATTAAAAATCTGCATAGATGATATTTAAAAAGGTTATAATAGTTAATAAAAACCGACTTAAAGTGAAACGTGTGTCGTATTCAAGTAGATTATGCCGACCGTACAGAAACTCAAATGTGCACAAATCAACGAATGAATTTGACCATTACTCTTTTGCTGCCATTACACAAATTACTACAAAGCACATTAATTTATTTTGCTGAATCACGTTAATTCATGTTACACAATAGTTCGTAAATAAATTGCGATTTTATGCAAATCGCGAGCTCATTTTCTATTCAATAGACGTCAACCACGCGTAGTCACTTCATGGCCGTGATATTATTCACTTTCCTGCTTTTCCGATTATTAGGAAATATTATACTGTATGTAGATTCCACTAGACTGAAAACTACCCAAAATTTGAAGCTTTAAACGAGTTTATACTTCATTTCACATTTACAAATATTCAAAGGTGAAATGTGTATCATACTCCTCGGGATTATGTGCAGATAATTAAAATTTAACTTCGGGGTGCAAAAGAGGCTCCTCTGATGTCTCAATTGATTCAAACGCTTTTTACGTCCGAATCCTTAGAGGAAATAATTAGCATTTAGTTAAGGATGCATTCAATTCACGTAACCGCAATTAATGGAGCAAATTTCACATGCACAACAGCAGGCACTTGCAGTTAAATGAAAATGATTTAAGACTAATTAAAATTATGTTTTACTAAAGTGTGTTTCATACCCAAACAAATTACGACTTGCAGGCGCAGTTTAACGATTTGCATAAATTATTACACTCATTAATTTATTCTGCTGAAAAGTTTGTTAGCAAATTGAGATTGATTTACTCACAGTATAAAAAATGTGTGTACAAAACCATATTAATTGTAATGTTTTTAGAACTCTCAAATGCACGAGGATTCGAATCCACGTGCAATTGTTCCTGTCCTTCATACTGAACAACATAATGTGGATAACGTGGTATCAAGAAGTGGTAGCACAAGTGGCGACTCCATTAAGGAATCCCGTAGGTATTTTTTTATTTGGTTTGAAAGTCCTCACATTCTGTACAATTTGGAAACACTCAAACATGTTGCTTTGTTAATGGGGGATTTTGCTGCATCAGCACACAATAGAATGTAAAATTAAATTTAGACCACCTTTGAAGCAATTTGGATCAAAAGTTGCGCTATAAAACCACTTGTAACTCTATCCCATGACATTGAAGGATTAACGAATGAAACCCCCATTGTAAAACTATCGAACGTTCCATTCAATCAATGTACATTAAACAATGGTGATAGCAGTTGATTTTTTAATTAAAAATAATGACCGGTAATCTCAGCAGCCTTTATTTAATACCCGCTTTTGCTACATGCGAAGGAAAAAACCGCTGTTTTTCACCAATGACATTTCTTTGCAAGAGTAAAATAAACTAGTTTGAATTGTTTCTAGTACTGGTGCCAGTTTCTTCATGTAGCAAAAGAGTACTACATGGTGGCCAACTACATGTGGATGTTTTGTGAAGCTCTTCATCTTCATCTCGCCTTGGTGGTGGTTTTTGTTCGAGAGGAACGCACAATGAAATGGTTCTATGGAGTCGGATGGGGCTTTCCTTTCATCATTGTGCTGGTGCACAGCCTTATCAGGATATTCTACAATAAAGACACTGATTTGTAAGTTGTAATGCAAAAAACTGGTTTTAGCTGCGACAATTTTTCCCCCGCCTGATAAGTTTCGCCGCTTTATATAAAAAAAGATGATTTATATTTAAAATTAAATTTTTAATAGCGAAGCGAAGAGTCTTTTAATTCTCGACGACAAAGATACGAGCGAAGCTGATACTTTGTGGCTTTCAAGTAGTTTATTATTAACAGCGAGGGTAGGAAATTATGGCGTACCGAAGGATATAGCGAGCCATTTCAATAGTTTTACGGGGCTGCAAAACATAATATTGCGTTAAAGGCTTCATAAAAATATGTTAGATTTTGGAACAAAAATGTTTCAGAAAATTGAAGCTGCAAATTGTTCAAACTTGCTCAAATTGCCTTTTTCAGACATATTTACATTTTCGTCGTACTGAAACTGTCTCCTTTCTTGCATGAAAGGTTTAGATTCTGAACAAAAAAGAGGGAGATTTTCCTTTTTTTGCCGGTCAAACAATGAGGCTTTAGCAATTCCCAGGCAAACAAATTGGATTGTTTCATTTTTTCCTCGACCCTATCCGTGCTTCTAGAGGATCCGTTTTTGTTTCCCGAAGCATTACTTATCCTGTTGTATAAATCAGGTTTCTCCAGTCGAATTATAGCTTCCTTGTGAAACCAGCCGTAAATATTGAAGACAGTTATACTTGGAATTTCCTGTTCAGTTATAAGTTTTTTCTGTAAAATTCCTGTGCCGGAACTGAAAGCAATTTCGTCCTTGTTAGCGGGCACAAAAAATAAAGGACCGAAACAAAAACCTTTTTATACTCACAAATCTATACAAGGTTCTAAATTAAAATTGCTCCTGTTTTTTTGGTCGCTGTAAATTCGAGCCTATGTTTATTCGAGCCTATTCGAGCCTATCTCATGTTTTACAAATATTAATTTCAAACGGAAAACTTGTTTTTTTAGCGTGGTTGAGTTACAATAAAAACTGATGCTCGTCCTAGTTCTACCTGCTTTCCTTTTTGGGATCATCAGCCTTTTCAAGTGGTTTATAAACGACTTTGTCATTTAGCGCTTGTCGAAGCAGCAAGTTAGCAACTTGAGTAGTTTATTCACCCTGAGAAGGGTCACTTTTTATCAAACAGTCAGTGAAAACTCGCCCTTGCCATTTATCAGCCGTAATCGTAAAAGTTTTGTTTGCGTCTGGGAAATCCGATAAATGTTCTCGAGCTCCTACTCTAGATCACTCAGTAAATGCATTTCCAGGTTTCTATAAGTGGCGCATTAGTCTCGCTTTAATCAGCACGAAATCAATCAAGTGGCATTTATAAATATAAATGAAAACTATCAGCCATTGCCAGTGAAGAGCGACGAGTTGGCTTTTAGGCAAATGGAAGTTAAATTAATTTAGAGTTAGTTGCTCGTTAGAAGAACTTTTATGTGGGGGCAGATAATAACAAAAAAAACAGACAGTTTAGGGTTTTTTTCAGTCGGTAGTATTTATTGCGCTCAATTTCAATAAGTTTGGTATAGAATAGGAATTACTTTCTAAACTTGCTTTCTATACTTAATCTTGCCCTTCAACCCTGTAAATAATTATGAGAGCGAAAAACTATCAAAACTGCTGCGAGATATTTGGCCTATCTTCATGCCTCTGGTGTTAAAATTTAAAATTTAAATTTGCAATGCAACCTTTTTTGTTGAACAGTTTGGATTATGCATTAATATGGGTTTATTTCATGCAGATGCTGGCTCCATGAAAGAGCCTTTGGAGGATGGTTCATCAGTATTCCCATTGCAGTAACACTAGCACTTTCAATGAGTAAGTACATAAAAACTATTAGAAATAGTCAAATTGCCATGGAAATTATAGTTGTTTTATGCGACAGTAACTAAAAGTAAAAAGCCCATTAAAACTGTTCAACATTTCTGCATAGTTTCCATATTCAAAAATGTTAAATGCCTGTTTAGTAATCTCTTAACAAAACTTTGCCGCAATCGCCATTCAACTCGTCAGTACGAAAAAGTTGCCAGACACACAAAAAACCGCTGTGGTGTTTTTCAAGTGAAACCAATTTGTTTCAGTTTTTCTCATTAACATTTTGAGGGTGATCCTCACAATCATGCACCCGAACTCTCCAAATCCGGCCCCAGTGAGCATCCGAAGGGCCGTAAGAGCGGCTTTGATTTTAACTCCCCTTTTCGGGCTCCAATTCATTCTGATCCCTGTACGACCTGACAATGACCATCCGATGTATTACGTCTATGTTTATACCAGCGTTATTATCATTCCTTATCAGGTAAGTCTCAGCTTATTTGCGCTCAATTTATGTTTCACTAAAGCTCAAGTTAAATAATTCAGAGATTCAAATTATATTTTATTTCTGTTGCTTGATTTAAAAAATGCAAATGCAATTGCGAATGGTTTTTAATCAGTTTTTAAGGCAAATTGCTTGAGGACATGAGCAACGCCTTCAAATGAAAATAGCAAACAACTTTCAAGGATCGTGTTGATTTGTTTATCAATTTTCCATGGCTAATTATAGATCGATAAAATGCGAGGCTTTTTTCTAAACCAGTCCTAAGTAATTTCTTTGATGTCTCCGGCTTTAAATGGGCAAATAGGGTGAAATGTCGATAATTAATCAGCGAAAATGTAAACAGGTTGTTCACGCTAAAAGTATTTGAATAGTGACTAGGTTTGGGGTTGGGATAAAAATATTATATTTTATTTAGTATTGGTTAACAACTTTTGTGCACTTACAACTTACACTTACAAAGATTCAATCGAATCATAATTCCCCTGTAAAATGTCCTAAAAAGAAATTAGGGCGAAGCAATTAGAAATCCCGTTGCCCAATTTAAACTGATTATGAAGCAAAATCAAAACAAATTCCGGGAAAAAAATTATTTAATAAAATTACGTTTTATAAGAAGTTCAGTTGCCTCATCGGGCTTTTACTTCCAATTTAGCATTTAGAATTCGAGCAAGGCAAGGCAATCAGGCAATCGCTCAATATACAAAACCCTACTCAAGTTCAAAGGCACGGGAATTCCGTATGGACTGAAATCAATTTCAAAATTATATAAGTTAGATCTAAGGATGTGACGGAAAGCCAATTTCAGGACGTTACACTCACGATTGCGAAAATTTGCATTTCAAATCAAAATCTAATCATAGCTTCAATCTGTGTTAATTCAATGGAAAATTTGCAGCTAAACTAAGCCGAGATAAGTGAACTCACGTACTAAGGCTTAAAGGGGATTGAGCCACAACATGCAAAGAAAAATTATCAATCTTCTCAGTTTCTCATAGTTCTTAAGGCCGCGAAAAGATCTGTCCTGAACCAGAAGTGATTAGCATTATGCTCAAACAAGCCGCTTACTTTTTAATAAAATCTCCAAAGCATTTCAATTTCAGTTCATAATGGCAAATGGTTTTTTCAAATAAACTCTGCGTTGTAAATTAGTCCGAAAACAACCCCGGTTAGAAGAGAATTGAAATGCAAACAACGCCGTCTCGAGTTTTGAAATTTATGTTTTCTTGTCATCTGAAAATTGAGTTAAGCTCAAATTCTATTCCAATCTTTAATCCAACACCCCTTTGAGCGCAGATATTTTTTGTGTGCGATCGAAAAAACTCGAGGACGTTTTCCACACAAATCATCGCCCAATTTCCTGTTTCAGGGTTTATGTTGTGCTGTTCTGTTCTGTTTTGCCAATCACGATGTGCATCAGGCAATTAAACGGAGTTTTCAACGAAATTTGACTCGACAGAGCACCCGATGGAGCAATTACCAAACTGGTGATAGTGCGGCTGGTGTTTTTATGGTGAATGGAAGCGGGCAAAATGGAAACACCGTTCCTTTGCTCTCTATTCGCAGGAAATCCACCCAAAGCTCAGTCAAGGTGTAAAATGTAAGTCAAAGTTGAAAAAACCAATATAAATTAACTCGGAAAATGTTTTACGAGTTTATCCTGTCGCGCGAAAATTCAGTGATTATGAGTGGCTTATATATGGCTTCAACATTGAAAGATGAAAACTGAAAATCTGGACTCTAGAGAATTTTTTATTTATCACGTTTTTCAAGTTGCAGACTAAATTTTAAAATTGAATCAAAAAATTGGGTGACGTTTTAAACGAATTTATGGGACAATTTCGTGAAAGGAGGAAGCAAATAGTCCACAAAGATCCAAAAAAAGTCAATTAAAAAAGTATTAAAAACGTATTCACGACCAGAGGTACATTGGCTTATTGGCAAATTCCACGTGAAAACTGATATAATTGAATGCCACCACAAAATGAATTGAATACAATACGAATATTAAGACAGCAAAAGGAAAAACTATTGCAGTAAATGAAAAGTGATTTTTTAATCAAATGATTCATTCTAATGACTTAAATTTACATTTTCAAAAACACGCACGCATTTTTCGACCTAATCTAATTAATTTTTCAATCGCAGATTTGTCCCAGTAGCAGCAACTAGTGAGTTTGGAACGATTTTCTGAGATCTGTACAGTATTTTCCTAGTTTATAAGTTTCATCTCATATTTAGTGATAGGAAAAAGTTAGTCAAAGACCAAAGATAATGTATATTTTGAGAAACCTAAGTAAATTATGTAAAATACATTTATACAACTGTAGGATGTAACTTGTAGGTAGATGGCAAACATAACTTTGGGTAAAAACTAGGTGGAACCTTGACTTTTTCAACCAAGCAAAACCGATTTACTGAGCTAATTAATGTGAAAAATTATCTCCCCTTCGACCAATTAATTCCGCATGACCAAAGCGCTTCTCTCCAGCTTTTAAAATGCAAAACATTCTTTATGAACTTTGCGTTCTAGCGCTATCCGTAATGAATTTCACACTTTTCCACCACTTCCAAAGTTTCTCTTCTGATTTTGTCAAGTTGCTTACCATAATAGATTTACCCGTAGGGGAAAACTGATGCTTAATGTGCATTTAGATTTAATATAAGTGTTACTGTAAAAAAGAGACAGGCGTAGATTGTTACATAAGTCTGATTTAATGTGGTTCCCATACCCGATTTTTTTTGTTTAGAACGGTTTTGTTTTTATAAATAGACAATCAACAAAAGACATTTTTTCAACAACCAAGTAGTTTTGCTCCCTTTGGGGCGTTTTAAAATGAATGAAAAAGGTTCATGAATCTAAGACTTGCGGTGGTGCATCGATTCTGTTGAAGTTTTCACCAAACACTTTAAAATAGTATTAGGAGTTTATATTTTGAATCTAACAGACGATGTGATTTAGACTTGTCTTAAGAAATGTGAAAAATTTCCTGTTTGTCTTCAAGCAAACCCTGGAATTGATGTGTTGTAAATAAATGATATCAAGCAAATTACCAGATTGGGTCGAAGTATCATTTCGCTTAAAACGACCTAAAAGCCTGAAAATCTCACGAGTTTTATGTACATCTCTATTTAGCAGTTGTAGCCAAAAAAATCAAGACACAAACATTGCTAACAATGATTTTATTACAGCATACAATCAACTGAGTTTACATTAATTGGCCATGTTACTTGATTTTGATAACCCAAACATCATTAGTGTATACAGTGGCCTTATCGGGGAATTGGACTGAAACAACGCCATCCTCTTCAAACCACACCAATTCCTGATAACTATCCAAAATAATCACTTGAGTGGCGTCATTGAACAATTGCGAAACAGCGCCCAATCGAAGCACGTTGTTTTCCGGCCAACTGAGAACTGAGGCATACGTAGCTCCATCTCTTTGAGTGTACCAAACTCCGCTTGTGATTGTGTCCTTTTGGTGTTCAGTCCAGGGGCTGGACTCATAAATGGCTTCGCCGTTAATGGAGAGCCACTCACCTAAACCCAGCAGGCGCTCTTGGTAGATAGGATCTATGTGGCCTTCTTTGGTTGGACCTACATTGATGAGGATGTTTCCTCCGCAGCTCACAGTCTCGACTAGAAGGTCGATCAGTTGCTTGGTGGTCGCATATTCTCCAATGTTCGAGTTTCTTCGATACCCCCAAGAGTTCCAGTCGATGGTCATGGCATTTTCCCATTTGTGATCCAGAAGGTATCCGGGATTGTAACGGTCCTCGCAAGTATGGATATCTCCATGAGCGCAAGTGGCTCCGATTCCCCATCGGTCGTTCGTTAAGACGGTGTCTTTGACTGGACTCTCGTTGAAGAGCCATGCAAGGAACTTGGTTGATTTCCAGTAGGAATCGGACATTTCCCAGTCGCCATCAGACCAAATGAGGTCAGGCTTGTAGGTGTTTACTAATTCGATCAACTCGGGGTATATTTTGTTATCCACGAACTCTGTGGTGCCCTCGGATTGATCAGCAATGTATTGAGGATGGTACCACTCGAGTAAAGAGTGGTACAGCCCATACCTCATCCCAGCCTCCCTAACTGCTTCGCCTACCTCCTTAACTATGTCCCGATGGGGGCCCATATCCACTGAGTTAAAGGAGTAGGTGTACTTGGAGGGCCACAAGGTGAAGCCTTCATGATGCTTGCTGGTCAACACCACATACTTCGCTCCAGCTCTTTGGAACAAATTCGCCCATTCAGTGGCGTTGAAGAACTCACCAGTGAACTGATTGGCAAACTCCTGGTACGTGAATCCGGGCGGATAGTTTTTCTCAATGAAATCAACCACGTCGGCATTTTTGTCTGATTTCCATTCGTGCCAGACCCACTCGTTGCTGTATCCAGGCACAGAAAACAGGCCCCAATGGATGAAAATTCCCACCTTGGCTTTGTCGTACCATTCGGGCACGGTTCTCTGGTCGATACTGTCCCAGTTCTCTTCTACAGCCAAAACGCAATGGCTGCAGACGAACAGAATCAGAAGCCTTGTAGTCAGCTGCATTTGTAAATCAGCTCCTCAATCAACTGTTGTTTCACTTCTAACGATGATTTGGAACTATGTAGTTTGATAATGAAATGTGAAGTTGTTTGTGTTATTGCTTGTTTGAGTACACTTAAGATTGACGGCAATTGAAGGCGTTATCGGCAATAAATCGGGTTGACTGTACAATGGAATTGAGCTTGTTTGGGACTTGAAGCTGCTGCAAAATGCGTCAGGAATATATTAAATTTTCTCGAATAATCAGAGTTCAATAACGGAAAATGTCGGTATTGAAAAAACCGATGGAAAAATACTTTTAATGATCTAATAATGCACTTTACCTTGATGAAAGTTTGGCCCGACCGTCTTCTATTGAACCAGAACCGTGCATTAGAACTTTTTCGACTTACAGTTGTTTTAGAAACTGCAAATATTCTTTTCGGTTTTGACGAGTCGTGCCGACGCCATGTAAAATAAATTTTACCCTCCAGCTCTACAGGATGTATCAAAACTATAATATAACTTTCTTATTTTAAATGTAAACGCCTATTTTTTTTAGCACGGTTGAAAACTAAACTAAACAGGACGAAAAAAGTGAGTAGGTTCCATTGAAAAAACTGCTTTTTAAACACGTATACACTTTATGTATACCTACAAACTTTATTAAACAATGAAGAGTACCCGTAGAAACAATTTTCTGTCTCAAATCACTTAAACGTAGGAACAACAAACAACAGCAAGAGATTCCACCAGAGTTGCGCATCAATTTGACCAGCTTTAGACAGCAACCCAATCTCAGTTTCTGGTTCAGCTTTAAAAGCACGCGAACCTTTGGAAAAATCAGTTTTCAGGTCTGAAAAAACACCATTTCAGCCACACAGGCCAGCACAATGCAGACAGCATAAACTGGCAGTAAAACAGCTGCAGTCAATTTGGCTAGGAAAAATTTGTTGAAATACAAGGTAAAGTATAGAATCAAGGCAACAAAAAGTAGTCCAACGATCGTATAAACTATCGCGCCTGATTCGATTTGGATAAAAGCACTGTCGTTGGTACCCATGAGGATAGTCATGAAGAACCAAGGCATTCCAAGGGAGAAGAGAATGTTCATTGTGTTGGCGCCAAGTGAGTTTGAAACTCCCATTTTCCCTTCGCCTGAAAGCAAAAAACAATTTATTGAGTCAATCAGTTCAAAGTAGGAAATGAGGCAGTTGGGCGAGTGCTTGCATTGGAAAGAACACCGCTAGACAAAAAGAAGCCTCCTCCCATAATAATCTCTCATTAACACACTCAAAGTGTGTTAATCTCGATTCATTGTCATATTAAAACAACAATTACCTCTCCTGCTCATGATAGCAATTGAAATAGATTCAGGGAGCGATCCACCAGCAGCAACAAAAGTCATTCCTTGAACAGTTGCTGGTATTCCGAAAAGATCCCCTAAGAAATAAAATGTTATTTAAAATTGGTAATCTAAAACACTTTAACAATGTGGTCAAAAATGGAATAAAAATTGGGCTTTTTTGAAATAAACCATCTTGAATGCATACCAATTATGGTGACCATCCACGACACAATGTAGGAAGTTGCCCCGATATAGAAGATGCACATAATAAAACATAGCGGCCACAAATCCGGATACAATTTTGGATTGGGAATCGTGCACCTTAAGAGCATCTTTATAGGCCAAGTGTAGAAGAAAGACAACTTTGTGAACCATCCGCCTTGTGGAATTATAAATGGGCTCTTCTTTATCTCTGGAAAAAAACAAAAATTGCAAGTTTTCGGCAATAGGCATAAATCTATGTTAAAAACTCACGGTTAATTTCTTGTTCTTCTTGAATATCGCGAACTTTCTTAAATTGTTCTGGGTGTTCGAATGCGGATTTTCTGGCACTCTCTGCATACGTTCCAAATGCGGATGCCACTGATGCTCTCACGGAATCCCTATTGAATTCCCGTTGTTTGTGTTCTTCTTCATTGATGTCTGTGGCTGCGATTTAAAGAAATATTCGAAATTATTCATTTGAATTTTAAAAGGAAATGTTTCAGCTTGTGATCTGAAAGTGAAGTTCCTGATACTTACAAGCTGCGGGTTTTTTGTTTTGGTATCGATCCACTGTTCGTCTAACGAATCTGGATATTCTGGGATTTTGGAACATTACAAGGAAATAGACAAAGTAGCTAATGAACAGCGTTAATCCTTCGTACCAGTAAATACGACCATCCCAAACAATAGCAATGAGGATAGATATGGCTACCATATAAATCGAAACGTCTCGAGTAACTGGCCACCAATCCAGCTTAATTGGCTGAAATTACATAAATTTGATTAAATCACGTAAGTCGCCATAGGCGAAAAAGCAATCAATCGGTCAGTTAAAATTTCCTTTAAATGCCGTCTTTTTAAAACGCTATTTTAAATTGATCGTGCTAGTTGACATGATAAGGACGCAATTAGAATAGGATTAAGTAATTTAGGCGAGTTATATTTCCATCAAAGCATGACTTTTCCTCCCAAATATTTTATGGTGTTGTAATCCTGCAATCAATCAATTTTTTAAAACATTTTAATGTTGTAGATAAACGTGGTTTATCAATTAAAAACACTCTCAAAAACACTTGTAATTGATGATAGCATTTAGTGAAACTTTGTATTCACTTACTCGAGCAGCAGCTAAAGCCCCAATGGATGCCACACCTAAGGAGTTGAACATGGAAGATCCTACAATTGTGCCAATACCCAAAGCGGACTGAGTTACAAAGGTGGCAATCAAATTCGTGAATAATTCCGGACATGAAGTAGCCACTGACATGAAAGTTGCAGCTGCAACATCCTAAAAATCGATTTTCTTAAATATTCATATTAGGTTTGTCCTTATTTTTGTTCTTCCGGGACTTTCCCCCCGACTGAAGTTTTATAATCGATTCACGTGTCTCAATGCATTTGAATTGATTTTAAATAGGGAAAACGTGTTAATTTGTTTAACCTTCTAAAAACCGGTGTAAATTTAATTATTGAATCAATTTTTTCTTACGTATTTTGAGATGCTGAACCGAATGCTACCATCAATTTTTGAAGTATCGCCTTAGTTTAACCAACAGGTTAAAGAAACTGAAAAGTTCTTCTATAAGCAGAAGTTACTCAGTTTGATAGCGATAAAAATGTTCTTGAAATAATTGAAAAATTGACACTAAAGAACAAGAAAAGGGCAGGAAAAGTTTGGAAACTTTTTATGATGACAATAAAGAAAAACGTTCTGGAAGTTTCAAAATTCTATAAAAATTGTGAAACACATCGACTGATATCGAAGAAGTTTTTTGCGACTGAAACAAACCAAACGCCAATTTCTAAATTGAAATATGATCGGAAAACGTCGACCGTAAAAATATAACGAAAATCGAACGAACTCTTTATTTGCGTTCGAGGAAAAATCTTCCTGAAAATCGACGTTTGAAAAAATAAGTCCCTTAAGTTAATGACCTCTTGAGATATCATAAAAATGGCAAAAGTGGACAATACTAATCAATTTATAATTTAGAAATTATTATGTAATTCAAAGTTTTCCTGGAAAAAAACCATTGAGTTTAATGCAAATCTGTAGTAATTTCGAGCGACAAATTTCTTCTAAATAAGGAAAAGTGCATTTGAATATGAAAATCGCTTTTTGCGATAAAAAATTAATTAAAATTAAAAAAAATACAAAAAGCAATTTTGTTCAGTGATTTTATGCGCCAAAAATCCCTTATAAATAACCATAAAGTGTTTCCAAGACGACATCAAAGAAGATTAACGAACATCGAACGACAGAAACTAACGAACTGAAGAAAAAATCTTCCTGATAATCGACGTATTTGATTAACAAAAGATCAGCACTATCAACTAATTAAAAAATCAGAAAAAAACACTTTTGAGAAAATGACAAAAACGGACAGTGATTAGTTAATTTTTAAATGATGAATTTAAAAAAAACTGTACCAAAGAAACGATCAACAGAAAGAAAAATCAAGTGAGAACCAATAAAAAATCCATTCAGTATGTTGCAAAACGGTTGTGATTTTGGGTAAGCCCTGGACACGAAATGTATTCTAAATGGGGAAAATACACTTCAATATGAAACAATACTCAAATTTTTCGTAAAAATCCCAAATAAGAACTCATAAATACGTAGGCAAAAAATAAGCCCACTACTGGATTCAGCAGCCCAAAAAACATGAACAAAATTGATTTTATAGTGATGATGATTGATTATTATAGTCGTTACAGACGAATCTGTTGCATTTTTCACTTATTTTGCGTGTTCCTCGGGGATTTTAGCTTATAACTATTTTTTGACTATACTTAAAGAAAAACTGATTGTACCATTCGATTCATATTTCCTCCCGGAGAGAAAGTCCTCGAAAAAAAAGTGTAGGTCTATTTGAATTGAAAATCAAAATAATGCACTTACTGCCGAAATGTTCATAACTTCGCAAAGCCGCTCGATGGAAGGAATGAAATATTTGTCACATACTACCGCTAAAAGAGTGAAACAGTAGATGGCTATCAGGAAGCAAAGCACAACTCCTCCTTTCCGCAGCTGATCTTCAGGAAGAAAAGGAGGAAACTCGTCGCCGCCACCATCATACGGAAGTTCCGCATTCCAAGGGCTGATTTGAGGAAATATTGATGCAGCGAGGTTGTAACTGAAAAATCAACTTTGCAGTTTAGTTAACATAAATGCTACTGAAATAAATCACTGGAGAAATAAACACAGTTTTTAATTCAGTGGTTTTACAACAGAATACTATCTGCTTAAACCAGACTTAATGTTATTGACTTGACAATCCTTTAAAGTAATAAATGTTAGTGATTTCTCTACTCTGCAATGACTCTGATTTAAGCCACCTGGATCTATTCGGTTGGAAATATTCGACAAATATAATAAAATTGCATTAGAATTCGCAATCCTGTTGAAATTAACCACAGCAATTTACCTTTGATTGGCGACATCATGCAAGGCTGATATATTTTTCATCTGCACATCATTGTCGAATTTGTCCATATTTTCCGGTATACCCAACAATGCTCAGCCACTCAAATACATCTGTTTCTTCTACCTCCAAACAAAAGTCGCCGCACATAAATAAGATAAAGTGTTACTTAGTAAAATTTTGCTTATCTCTACAGCTTATCAATTGAAAAACTCCCCTTGATCCCTCAAATTCTATAATATGGTTTATGGTTTTAAATAATGATTTATTTACTGAGTTTGGTCTACTTAACAATTTCTATTGCTGTCTGGGAAAATAATCTGAAATTGCTTGTGATGGCGCATAAATTTACATAGAAATGTGCGTTCACTGATTTTGGGAATTCGGGATTACAGTTAGTTATCATTCAGAAAAAATAATGGTATGGTATGATTAATTCGTTTAGTAAATAGCCAGCAATAAAGTAGGTGTTCTCAAACTATGAGTAATTTACCGCTATATTTCAGAAAATCGGCAAATATTCACTAGTAAACGCCGTGTTAGCAAAACTGCAATAATTTTTTTGTTTTCTTTGATCAAACTTTCACGTCTGAAACTCTGAACTTTGGAAGTAAATTATAGTAACCCAAACTTAAATTTCCTAAGTGAATATTGCCAGTTGATCAGAAAGTATTTAAAAATACATATCAGTTCATTGCTCATAAATAACAATTGCATTTGACTGTTTTTAACTAAATTGATTTAACTATATAAATGCCTCTTCTAGCATCGTTTTATTTTTTTTACCTTTTTGCCAGTAAGTCCGCAAAATACTCCTTCCTCACTGGTGCAAGGATAACAACTTTACTTGACACATAATATTCGAAAGGCCGACCTAAACCTTTTACAACACGTAACTGCACCTGATTATCTATCCGTCTAAGGATGTAGTTAGGAATTGATTAAATTATAATCCACTCTTTATAAAGAGATTATCATTAATCGAAACTAAAAGAGTTTGATTAGATCATGGAAAGGCATTTGCAACGCTTGCAATTTGTTACGGTGATATGTGGATTAAATTTGAGAATAATCGAGATAGCGAAAAATCAAAATGTATTGATAAAAATCTGTCTATTTAATTTAAGAGTCTAAAAAATGTTTAGGTTTTCTACTGGTAAATTATTTCTCTAACTGGGCTTTTAATTTATTTGAATCAAGCTGTTGGGGATATTAAAGAAACCGTTTTAAATGAATCAAACCAAATATTAACTTATCAAAAGAGCTGGGTTTTCATTTCTTGAAACTGATGAGAAACAAATTTGCTTCGTTGCATCTTGCATGGTTTGTTCGAAGTTCTATTGCCTTAAAAATGCTGTTATGACAGCAAAAACCGAAATGTGGCAAAAACAATTTCTTAGCGGAAATCCGGATAAACCATTCAAAATACGACGAAAGAAATTATTTTGAAGCACAGCCTAGAAGGCGTAAAGCTGACCAGTTTGAAGAAAGTGACGCAAAAGTCTAACTATTTTGATAAAGGGAAGCTTGTTTCTCTCACTTACCGGTTTAAAAACATCTACTTTTGAATAAGAGTTCTTCTGGTGACAAAATTACACTCCAGTTGTTTATTATATGCAGCTTGCATCAATCTGAAATTCTGGTAAGCATTAGGAAAATCCCCACCTGCATTCGAGAAAAATGAAAATCAACAGTAAAAACCCAGTTTAATTAACATTCGTTTATTGCCACAAACATCTTTAAAACATAACAAATAGACTATGTACACAAGCAAATTTATCACGAGCCGTTTAGTAACAGCGAAAAATCCCTTTGCCTTACTGTAACATTACAACGAATGCAATATTTGCACTTCTAAAGGATTCGTAATCACAATTAAATAAAATCTGGTTTGTGTTCAGATTCCCTACTTCCAGTTGAAATCATCATAATTAATTATTTATTAATAATTACATTTGGCATTGTTTTAATAGCACAATTGGACAAATAATATGGAAAACCTGTTCAAATTATGTGAAAAGGTCTAGCAGACACTTTATGAAAGGAGTACAAGCTTTTGAATAAATATATAATAAATAATTACAAAACGAGATTCATTTGCAATTACTGGGCCGGATTGCTGCAACTGCTCACTCTGATGTTGGAGTGTGATTGATGGATTCAACACGAATTATTTTTGAAAAACACCATTTCAGATAGACAAGCTAGAACTATACAGATAACGTAAATCGGCAGTAGGACGCATCCGGTTACTTTAGACAACGTAAAATGGTTGAAGTACAAAGTAAAGTAGAGAATCAGTGCCACGAGAAGAAGAGCCGCTATTGTATAGATAATGGATCCCGATTGCAGTACAATGGTTCCTTTCAGCATCGTGCTAAAGAACCACGGCATTCCAAGGGAGAAGAGAATGTTCATCGAGTTGGCTCCCAATGAGTTTGAAACTCCCATTTTTCCTTCCCCTGAAAAAAAACGGAAAATTTAGTGTTTTCAACCACAATTGGTTCTTCGCTCAGTCTTCAATATTTATTAACATACAACTAGTGAGTTTTTAGGTCGTCGTGCAAAAGAAAGTTTTACAAGCGGTTTACACTTGTGAAGTTACAGGCAACAAAACAGATTATTTCCTGGAAGCCTCTTACCTCTTCTGGTCATAATAGCAATTGAAAGTGTTTCTGGCAATGATCCACCAGCAGCAACAAAAGTCATTCCTTGTACAGTTGATGGGATTCCAAGAACATTGCCTGCATAAAACATAAAATATCTGAATTTGTCAAACACTTTCATGTGAAACTGCAATTGATTTAGTTTGCTTTAGGTTGCACTTGTACGTACCAATGAGAGTAACCATCCACGACACTATATAAGAATTGCCTCCAATCCAGAATATACATAACATAAACGTGACTGGCCACCAAGCAGGGTGGGTTTTGGGATTGGGAATTGTTAATCTTAAAGCCATCTTTATCAGCCACGTATAGAAGAAGAGAAATTTCGTGAAAAATCCTCCTTCAGGAATAGTGAATGGGCTCTTGGTAAGTGCTGCAACAGCAAGCCATTAAAGCTTGATTGAATGGAAATATTGACACGATCAATTACATTTTATTTCTTCGGCTTCTTGAGCTTCTCTGGCTTTCCTAAACTCTTCTGGATTTTCGTATGCGGATCTTCTCACATTTTCCGCATAGGAGCCAAACGCTGACGCCACTGAGGCTCGTACCGAATCTCTATTGTATTCCTTTTCTTTACTTTCAGATACTTTGCCATTTTCAGCTGCAACCGAAAGATTTTAACAATATCTGCGACTGGCAATAAAACCGAGCAATAACTTACCAATGTCAACTTTGTTGTTGCTTCTGTATTTATCAATTGTCCTTCTAATAAATCTGGAAATTCGTGGATTTTGGAACATTACGATAAAATAGAGGAAGTAGCAAATGAATAAAGTTAGTCCTTCGTACCAGTAGATATGGTCATCCCAAACTATGGCTATTAAAATGGATATGGCGACCATATAAATCGAGATGTCTCTTGTGACTGGATACCAATCAAGTTTGATGGGCTGGAAAATTGAAAATGCTATAAATTTTGAGGGTTTATTAACAGCAGCTACTACAGACTTTATTTTGTGGTTTATATAATATTTTAAATTTATTGCGGTTTCTTGTTAATTCTGTTTGCTGAATTCATAAATGCCTCTGATCACGCAAATAACATGCATTTTATTCCATATACTTACCCTTGTCGTCCAAAACTATTAAGTACGCATTAAGTAACCAAAAATAAACGCATTAAAGAATCTTGCTTCAAAAGTCCAAAAGTCAATGGCTAACTTACCCTAATTGCGGCTAACGAACCAATTGATGCGACACCCAAAGAATTGAACATTGACGATCCAACAATTGTTCCAATCCCCAAAGAAGAGCCGGTTACAAATGTGGCAATCAAATTGGTGAATAATTCTGGACAGGATGTGGCTACTGACATGAATGTTGCAGCTCCTACATCCTAGAAAAAATTGGTTTTATTGAAATTAAAATTAAAATATCTTATTCATCTGCTTACTGCGGAAATATTTAGAACTTCACAAAGTCTTTCAATGGAAGGAATAAAGTATTTGTCGCAGACAATGGCGAGTAGAGTAAAGGAGTAGATGGCCATCAGGAAACAGACCACTATTCCTCCATGACGCAATTGATCATCATCAAAAAATGGAGGAAAGTCATCATCATCATCATCACCACTTGATGCATTTTGGTCACATTTCAACTCCTTGAACTGTTCGAGACTGAAATGTCAATTTTTTGTTTCTTAATTATTTTTATAATAAACCAATGCCTGATAATCTGTTAGTAAAAATGCATGAAAAATATTCTTTCATATGACACTTTTCTTTATATGAAGTATCCTGGGTGGTTTTTTTGAAAGTTTTCAAATAAACCCATTGAATTTCATGCGATGAAAACATTAAGGCCCCGAAATCAAATAATGTACTCAGGATCTTCGTTTTAACAAATTTCGAATAAATGCTCATTTGTATTTTTTTTCTTATCCATTATTGTTATTCTAATCCAACCGATCGAGCAATTCGACATGTTATTGCTGTCCTGGACAATTAAACTTAATCTCGCCTAATTTCGAAGATTTACAACTTCTGAAATTTTCCCGCTACTTTAAGTGCGTTAATTGTCTGTATTGGCTTATAGATATTCTATATTTACCTCTGATGGTTTTCCGTTTGCTTCGCATCTTTAAGGATTGGTAGTGCATTAATGTCGTTTGAAGAAGCATTAAGTTGATTTCCTGCAAATCTGTTTGGATCGACAATGTCTGGAAAATATGAAAAATTGTGTTGCTTAATTTATAAATTAAAACAAACACTCATTTGACTTGGTTTAGAAAGACTTTGAGAATTTTGAGTAAACCTGGTGAACCAATTTCCAGACTGTAATAGCCGTGCATTTAAAAAAATCATCCATTGCTATATTATGGGAAAGAAAAAATCAGGTCTAAAGACTTTCTCTAAACAATTTTTTTGCAAATTGTGTCCAGTAACTTACTTGCTGAACAAGGAAAGCCAAATATCCCAACAAGAAGAATCGAAGCTAACACACCAACACACTTCATGTTTGTCACGATCAATCTGAAGAAAAAACAATCACAGTCTCAAAAATCCATAATGTGCGAGTGAGGTTGTTCCTGAAATGACTTTGTATATAAATGAATTATCATTTATCTGAAGCTTTGATTACAAATCACAGACGTGGATCAATGTGTTTTCATTATCACTCAAGGATTGTATAGGCCCTTCAAGTGGATGATAATGTCGGAAATAAATATCGGATAGTGCTGGAAATTTGAATAAATTTACCTTCAAGGAAACCGTGATTTTCCATTATAATCCATTTGACTGGATTTGCACATTTCATAGGTTCCAAAGATGTTTTGGTTAAATCACATTTTGACTAAACTAATTTGGATTGTAACTAATTGCAGAAATGCGAGAGTTATTTTAACAACAAGCAAACTTTTAGCAAAGTCAATACATTAAAATTTGAAAAGGCGTTTTTCTGGTACAACAATCTCCGGTATATTTAGCACCCAAACTAAAACATTTAGTGAGTATTAAATATTTATATACCGAAGGCTTGTACGAAGAAACGTATCAATGGAATGGAGATTTTAAGAATATTTGAAAAATATGTAGGAATTCATAGACTTGTCCTTAAGACCAACTGGAGCTCAAGGCCGTTGAATGTTAATTTAATTGAGAAAAATTAATCGAAAAGGTAAATACTTGAGATCTACACAATCACAAAGTAATGATTTATAAAGTGTATATTAGCAGATATTTACGTATAGTGCGCAATCGATAATTATCTAAATTTAAATTAATGTAAGGTATTTCTAAAAAAGCCATACATTTGCGGTCATTCAGTAGCACTTTCACTCTTCTATTGATATTTTAATAATTAAGCTACAAGAATGGGCATCAAAACATTTTGGTGTCGTCTCCAAGTGTACATATTTGGTCATTAATGCAAAATCGACCAATTTTTCTAAAGTTTTAGCATTAAAAACTTTTAGCAGGATCTTCATAAAAGTTCACATAAAGCAAATAATTGAGAATAAATCTACAATACAAAAAATGATTTGGTGCCATCCATCAAACACTTAATATTCCTTCGATTATCTAAAAATAATTTAAATCGAAACCACGTTTTCCTACATATCGGAACATTCAGTGCCTCGATTTTGATTAATGAAATTCAATGGCAGCCTCAAATTATTCTAAAAGTGAACTTTCTAGAGCTCGTGGCAATTTCATATTTTTGAAACAAACACTAAGCTTTATTAATAGTAAAATCTCCCTTATGTCTAGATGTACAATATAAATTTAAACGGAAATTATTTTTGACAAATGATGCATCGACAAAGTAGAGTTTTGGGCAGAGTTTGCAGCATAACTTTTCGTTTAAAAGCACGATTAATATTAATCCAAAATAACCCTTATTTCCCAACGAAAATTCAGAAAATAACTTGGGATAAAAGTTCAATTTTTTTTACTTTTCAAAGTAGCTACTCTCAACTCATCAAAACTTATTCTTCTTTGTTTTCAGAAAGATGTATTAATAGCACTTCTTAATTACATTCGATGATCTATTGTTGCTCCAAAAGTGCCGATTTTATCTTAAACTTTAATCGGCTGATAAACATTGTTTACTGGTAGCAAGATTTAAATTTTTCGAGTTTCAATAAAGTTGGCGGAAACCAAGCAGTTTGAGGCATTTTCCAAGTTTGATTAGAAAATTACACTTAGGTCGAACTTACCAGCAATGAGAAAACCGCACAAATTTTTATAAATAACTAAAAAGTTTGCTAATGAAATGGCCCATAAAAACTAGAGCTGAGCTGAGTACTAAACCAAGTAGTAATAACCCCATTTCGAATAATTTTCCACCCCTGCTTTCTTAGTCTATTTTTGGCCAGTAAATTTTAATAATTTATTTGTGTATAATTGTCCAACTAACTTTGTCCTATATTCAAATCCCAACTATTTCTGTCATAACTTTGCTTATCTTATGGACGTATTCTCACATCTGTAGAAAAAGCTTAAACGTGGCAATAGTGAAAAGGGCATTTAATATTCTATTTAAATCTATGCAAGAAGTTAATCATTATTTAACATGCGCTCATCATGCAAATCTGTTGTTTCCATTAGAAATATTAGGTACAATACCTATTATTGAACGACTTCCATTGTGCAAACACATACTTATGGGGGAAGAAATGCGAAAATGTTGACGTCTTTTCCGCACTTAATCATAATCTCAATAGCCAATACATTAATGGATTGGTCGATGTTATTTTATTTTGAATAGCTAGAACGTGTTTGAAAATGCAAAGAAAAGATCCAGGGTGATACAGATAAATAATTAATTTTAAATTGCGTCTTAAGTTCAAGCCCATTTACTTATCGTTTGATATATGACGCTATTTGTAGCTTTATCATTTTTAGAACTTCCTTTCGAAAATCTATTTTGATTAAGTAAATGTTTATTTGCGTCCAGTTGAAAACATTTTGCAAAGTACTTTCAAAAAAACAGAATTTCACGAGAAAATCGATACCCCATACTTTAACGAGCGAGTGCTGCATTACCCTGGATGATGTTTGGTTTAAGTGTAAGCAAAACGTCTAGTAGATATCTTTAGAAAATCTTTGATTCACCATCTGATAAATCATTGAAACTAGTTCATACCTTACCAACTCCAGATCATCAAATATCCATTTAAACGAACTGATTTTTCACATAATCAACTAAATTTAATTTTCAACCGTCACTTGCAATATTCTCCATTTGAGAGTAAACAAACAGGCTTCTTTTCTCCCACAGAAGTCCTCAACATCAATAATGAAACCAATCAATACTACTGTCCCTTTTTAGGCCACTTTGAAGTAATTTATTAGTTGGAGAGTAGACGGTTTCTGAGGTAAAAAAAACGTGTAAATTACATGCCTTTAATGTTCGAGCTAATAAATATGAAAAAAAGTTTTATTGATATATATTATGTACGAGAAATAAATATTAAAATCTAACAAAAAATTTGTTGGCATTGTTTTGTAAATTCGAGATATCAACAAGTGTTAATGACTAAACTGCTCGAGTTTTTTTGCGGGAACAGTTGGGTTTAATGTTTAGGGTCAAGAGGAACCAAACATTATTCTTAGTATTTGGCACTGAAAGTGTGAAAAATAGATTTTGTGCAAGTTTTAAGGAAAGCTTCCTCACATTGTACTTTCATCCTCCACTTGCAGATTAGTCAAACTTTCAGTTCCTGCGCAATTGTTTTCAATAAAGAAACTCAATTATTTTCCTTCCGACTCCCGATTTCATATTTTTCAAGTCCGGAATATAATGAAGTCCATAATAATATTTAAACACGAATACAGTTCAGGATCGTTAGCAACCCATTATTTATTTACCAATTTCAACGAATCGAGAGTTAGTCCTTTGTTCGCCCTAAAGAATGTGAATTCTGGTAATTTGCGGGAAAGAAAATGCCTTAAAAGTAGCAAACTTGCCACAAATCTGGTTTTCATAGTAATAATGATAGGTACAATCGCTGCAAAAGAAAAGCATAACAATTAAATATAATATATATAATATTTTTTATTTATATCTTTTCTGGCAAAACTTTTCTTATAACTTTTAATATTAAATTCAATGGAATTTAAATCGATGTGAAAGCAAAATGTAGTTTTTTTCAATTGCCCATGTTTTACCGTATTTATTTAGGCCAAGCAAGCAAACATTTCCTTTAGTGCAAAGCATGATGTTTCTATTTTCCAAAAGTATTAAATTAATTCGAACATATTTTCTGTTTTCATAATTGCATCAACCTTAACAAAAAATCCCACAGAAAAAAAATTTCCACATAAATTTCATAACAATAAACAACCTTAATAGCGAATGAATGGAGTCTTTCTGTACACTTAGAGAGACCCCAAGCAGCTGCGAAACAACCGCAATAATCTGATCCCCAAACTTGAGAAAATGAACCAAGAATATCTCTTTTTACGACATTTTTTTAAATTCCAGAAATCCATTGCAAATTTTTTCTATGAGCAGTTTAGATTTATGAGAAATTCTTATTTTAAACTGCCAGTGGCTGAACTAGTGGAGAGTGCCAAACTACGAGTCCTGAAAAGGCGTTTTCTTAAAAATCTAATCTGGACCCTAAAAAACATCCTAAATTTCACCACAATCTTAGCATAGTTATGCTCCAAGTTTGGAGCTTAACTTTTCAATGAAAATCCATATTAGAATATTAATAACAAAAGAACTTTTGCAAGTGCAAATTCCATTAAAGCTCAGCCCTTTCATAAATATTCAGATAAGTAAATAAAGAATTTAAGGCACTACACTAACTAAAAATAGGTATTAGGTATGCCATTCTAAAAGGTTTTACGCTAGCAATGGAATGATTTTTAAACAGATATCACTTAAACCTATTCAATTCAGACGGCGAGGAAATTTTTAAAAATATTTTAGGATTTGCAACAACCAATTGAAGTGTCTCATTAAGTCTCTTTGCGTCATTCGGAGCGAATTGACGTGCGAAAATGATTCTAATCGTATTATATTATTAGATAATTTCAATCAGCTTCTTAGGAAATGGAATTTTGTGCGTCTTGAAACCGATATAAAATTGATTATGCAGAAAAACCACAATTATCACCGACCAAACCTGAAGAAAGTTTCAGCTAGATTCAGTAGGAACTTTACAATTCTTCAAATGATCCAGAGAATTTAACACGAAAAACCCACTCTTAAACTTTCCTATCTCGAGACAGTTTTTTAATCTATTACGTGAATTGCAGTAGCGCTATTTAAAATAAAACCCTCTTGATAATAATACAGAATAGAAGTGTTATTTGTAATTGAAATGTGGTTAAGGTTGGGCTTCTCTAAAGGAGGAATGGGTAAGAAAACAAACAAATGCTACATTTTTCAGTTTATTACAACAAGATTTCTTTGCAGTTGTAGGCTCTCGAAAATTTCCTCATTTTGAGCATAGAGCTGCTCGTAGATCTCACTATAATTAATATCGCCCTTCCGGCCGCCATATTCATCTGGTAGGACATCGGGATCAATAAAACCATGAAGAGAATCGCGATTGTTGAAATGGAACTTCACCTAAAACCATATTTATCCTCGTAAATTAATCCAACAAAATATCGAATCAATATTGATTTTTTTATCTGCACAATTTCAAGAGTGTTTTTTATTGTTCTTGGTCGATAAGAAAGTCTATTGGTGTTAATTAGATCACTTTATAAACACCAATTTGAAGTATGATAATTTAAGCAAGTAATTGCTACCCACAGTTTTTTTTATATCTTCAGGCAAAAATGGCCAGACAATCTTCAGCGCAGCATTTAGAATAAAGGAGTTGTTGACCACATGGAACCTGAAGTCCTTAAATGGCAAACACTGCAGCTTTTTCAATCCCACCATGATATTGTGAGGTGTGAGCCATTTGATGGACTTCCAAGGTAGATTTGCTATGTCCAAAAGAACGCACAGTCCTTTCTCTGGATCACTGTTGAGTAGAATTGATTCAATCCATATATCGTCTACAGCAATAACGTCTAGAAGGGCCATTTTGGAAGGGTCACAGTTTCCTGAAATTTGKTTCACTGGTTTTGAGCTTAAATAGAGTATGGCACGCTGAATTTGCTAGATTTTTTCAAGTGAAAGAATGTAGGGATATTTTAAGAAAAACGTAACTTATTGTCGGCCTCCTTTAAAGCCTGATGTTGCTCTAATGATTTTTTTCTGAAGGATTAATGTGTTCGTTAATTTTGAATCCAAGCTGAAATTTTATTTGTATTTCAATGATTGTCTATTAATTATAAACAGTTTTTAAGATATTAAGTATTCAATCGATTTGAATCGATCGACGTATTGAATTCACTCTTTAGCGGAACAGCGACATATCAATAATGGAAAAAATTGTTAAATCTATTACGGGAAAACCTGCAAATGCCTACAAGTAATGAATTGAATCAGCGAAAAAATTTTTCACGCCATAATAGAAGCCCTGTAAAATATCCTTAACCAACAGAAATACACAAAAAATGGAAAGTTTCTTTAGAAAGCAAAGGTGCGACAAAAACATGAATTTTACCAAGAAAATGATTTCCAAAACTGTTAATACTCGTTCCATAAACTGGGCTTTTCATCGATCGCAGTTAATATGAAATATTTTGAGCTTTAGATTAATTACTCTTAAAAAAGCATAGTTCGGTAAAAAATAGCTTTCGATTCCTTTAAGAAAATGATCAATTCAGCTTTTCAGCTGCTAGCTATTTTCACCCGTTTTCCGAATTTGCAACTCTAAGGACTTTAAAGGTTCCATTAGGAGCCAGATATTTATTTTTATATCGAGTTAGTTTTTGGCATTTAAGAATACATAACTTGTCGATTTTAATTTCGATAGTTGAAATTTGGCTATAAAAAAGGCGGCTGAAAAGTCCTGCATTTTTTTAATTCGGATAAATTCAGTGGCTCTGCATCGATTGCTATGCCAATTGTTTGAAGATTAGTCTGTTCAGTTTGCATAAAAACTATTACAAAAAGTGCGCAATTTAAGGCTCTATCCCGCAGCGACTACAGCTTTATAGTTCAACTGGTTCTCTAAATATGTGCCAAAGACAAAGGGTGATTTTCAAGACTTTTTCTGCGGATTTGGAGATTTTTCGAAAAATATTTTGCATTTTGTGTGAAAAGCAGAAACATTTCTAACATGATGTTTGCTCCCAAAAATACGCAATTTAACGTTCTATCTAGTAATGAAATCTATGGCCTTGTAGCGTAACTCGTTCGATAAATACGGGCCACAAGCTAAAAGCCGATCTGACAATTCGCATTAACTTTGAATGTTTGTCTTTTCTTTTGTGTGCAAACTATCAACATTTCAAAAATTAAATTTTGATATAAAAAGTGCACTGGATTTCTAAATATGAGCCCATGACTAAGACCGGTTTTCACAACGCGCTCAACTATTATTATGATAACAAGTATGTAGATTGTAAATATCAGGGCGAAAATCTCGAAAATCATGCGTTTTCTAGATAGAAGGTATTGAAATTCTGGACATTCCCAAGTGAAAACAGTTGTGCCCTGCAAAAAATTAAAAATTGCAAAATCTAGTGAGCTTTATTTTTTTGCAATTGACTGTTTTTTCACAATGTAAACGTTGCCATGAACTATCTTAAATAAAATTCTTACCTAATTTAGCCACATAAACTGGACGACCATCCTTGTCCGTAACTGCTGGTAAGGCTATACGCACATCCTTTTCCAGCAAATCCTTTCGATTCAGTGGCGCCTCTTTGGTAAACCATTCAGGATGTTCTAAGATCAGTTTGTAGTACAACTTAATCTGTAAATACATTTTTACAGTTCATTGCCCACGTAAACTTGAAATTGTAGGTTCCCCAGGAATATATTTGCTGTGTTTTCGTCCAACGTACTTTTTTAAAAGCCTCCTCAACATCGAACTCTGTCCCCCGGAGGAATCTCTCCAGTAGTTTGTCATTTTCATATGGAAAATTGCATAACGCCGGTTCGTCTGAAATGCAAATTTTAGACTTGTCTTACTGTTTTTAAGTATTGTATTTAATGGCCCTATAGACGCCTAATATGGATAACAAATTAGACTCTAGTACATGGTGTTGTTTGGAATTAAAATAGCCGGCAATCTATGTTTTATTGCCGCAATTAAAACTACCTATAACAATTAATCACATGTTCAGGCGCAATTAATTTAAATGTATCAGTAGTTTTGTCGGTCTAAAATAGCATTTGAAAAATTTTTATTATGAAATTATTTCGCTCCGGCTATCTACTTAGTATTCCTCATCTTGCCCAGCGTATAAAGCATACCTAAATTAAATCAATGAAATTATGGCTTAATGAATAACTAAACACACTTTCACTATTTGTACTGTGATAATTTGTTTTAATAAAATATTCAGAAATAATTAAACACAATTTTAGCAGCTTTGATTGCTGTTAGCACTTAGTTTTTCTATATGCTCACTTTCAAAAATTAGTCATTCGTTTAGGGGGCAACTAAATGCTTTATTGCTAACGTTTATGGCTTAAATTGTATATACATTAAAAACATTGCAATTTTCGCGTTCAGACATGCAAATGGAATGTTGATGATGGAAATTTGATTTACTGAATAATGATATTTATATGCCACTGCAGCTAAAAATCGCATTATTTTAGCAACTGCAATATTTTGTTGTAAATATTGCGAAAATTCAATGAAACTCGCGAGCAATTAAGCAAATTCCTTATTCTGCAATGAAAAATTGTTTTCTACGCTTTTATTTAGAAGAATCATGATTTCCACCAAGACCAAAATTTATTTTTTTGATGCAAGTACCGAGTTTATTCTCATTAAAATTTGAGAAGTTTTTTTGTTGTAAAAAAAAAGAAAAAAAAATTGAAACAAATAAAAATAATTGTAATAATGCTGTAGTTTTGCGCCAAGAAAATAGACGCTCGAAACGTTTTGCCGCGATTCTTCAGAAAAAAATATCCAAAATCGACAAAAAAACTCACTAAAAATTTTATTTTTAAATTAGTGGCCTGTTATTCTTACCCTCAATCATTTTCCTCAGGAGTTCGATCTTTTCCTCCTTATCGACAATCATTGGAGGACTCGCTTTTGCACACACTATTCTACATCGACGACGATTTACGATCACGTTCGCACAATCGCTTGAAATTGCAACTGATATGTTTCATCCAAGTGCCCTGTCTTTTAGTCGCTTCGCATTTAGCCGAACCTTGCATTATTATTGTCTAATGAATATTAAGGTAACTGATGTTAACCGGTCTTACGAGGGTCAAACCGTGCATTACTTGAATTTGAAGAAAATACTTTTTACTTCTGCGTAACAACCTTCGGTATCATTATTACGTTACATTTAAAAAACTTTTTAATTTCAGATTTTCTGTTAATTAAGCTCGCTGAGAAATAAACTCGAAATGAATAATGCAAATCCAAACAAAGCTCCGGTCGAAGCGAAGTCGGGTCTAACTCGCAATTAATAAAAAGCCAATTCAATTTCAATCAAATTTATTTTTACATTTATGAACTACAAATAATATCTATCAGTTACCGTAATTTTATTAAATCTATCGGTTAATTTACGCACTATTCTTAGCATTAATAATGTTCTAAAATTGGATAATAAAACATATGCCATTATATATTTTTACGTATGTATATCAGCCCTTTCACTCCCGATTGAAGAAACAAGTATGAGCCCATTCCTTAAGGCATATTCCGTTGAAATTTATTTTAATCACATCTAAATTTTGAAACTAAAGCAATAATTTTACCATTTTTAACAAACTGCAGAATTATCTTTATTTTATCAGGGCTACTTCTTGCTGGCCCAAAACGGGTCCAATGTGCTCAATGGATCAATGGTTTTCTCTGTAACTTCTGGAATAATTGGCGCTTCCTCCTGTGATTCCTTCACTGGGACCACGTCGTTTAGTTTCTTCCTTAAATTATCTAGAACCCACACGATTACGAGAAATCACACCCAATTTTCTGGCAGCCTACCTTGCGAAAGCAACTGCTTCATGTAACACAGCATCGATTCATAGGCGAACTTCAAGTGCTCCCTATCCCGCAGGATATTTTTCCTGAAGTTACCCAGCTGAGAAGTCAATCCTGCCAAATCCGGAATGGAGTTCGACTGGTTGGTTACATCCAAAATCGCATTTGAGAGTAGGCACAAAAGCCCACTTCTCCCTATTCCCGATGAACAGTGCACTAAAATCGGGTGGGCTACAGATTTTTGCTGCTGGAATAAACTGATCAGTTCGACGACTATGCTAAGAAAAGGTTCGGGCGAAGTGGGGAATAAGCTGAAAAACGCAATAAAATTAGATGGTTAAGACATATCTTGATTAACACTGACCTGCCAGGCCAGGAAGTGAATTGTAAATGAAGAACATTCCAAGTCTCTTTTTTCTCTGGAATGGTCAGAGAAATCACTCGTTCAATCCAATGCGGTTTCATTACAACGCTTTGTAAAGACAAAACCAGATTTTGGTTCAGTATTGACAGGGTTTGTCCTTTTTCTTTTGGCCAGTAAATCTCATCACCAATCTAAAAATTTTGCTAATGTGAAACTATTCCTTTGAGGGGAAAAATTATATTTTTTTTTGTGTATCTGCAGCTTTTTTGGATAAACATGCGAATACACTCACCTCGTTTTCATTATTTAAGCAAAAAATCAGGTCCACTTGCTGTTCGCGAACCATCGCCCAAAAATCACCCTGCGTCGACACCAATGGAGCTTGAGTTACAATAAATTGTGGTCCGAATGGGGAGATTTGCTAAGATGTGGGCAAAGTGGCAAATTTACATTTTTTAAACATTGCATACATAGAAACCTTTCTCACCTTGATAAATGAGGCGTTTATGTAATCATCTCCAGTAGTACGAAGTTGAACTCGACTGTAATCATAGGGCAATATATCGGGAGATCGATTTTTCATCGGGTAGCATCTGGCAACCGATATAACCCGTTTCTGGGTATCGTTTTCTTGACTGTCTTGAATCTCCTTCCACTTCATATCCAAACTAGTGGGCCCACTTAATGTTTTGCTTGTTAACGCTTCGACGGACTTTTCGAATTTTTCAACTTCTTGGGCAAAGAGCGTCTTGACCTACCCGAATACAGCACTGTTAACTTCTGGAAAGCAAAGCTTTGTTGAAACTCACCTCGGTATTGTTTAGCGGTTTGCTGGGCAAGACTCGAATAGTTTCCACTTTAGGAGTATTTATCGCTTGGTCTGAACTCTTTGGGCTTGGTTTTGGGGTTTTGTTCTCAACAACGGCCTTTTTCTCGGGTCGAACTTCAGGGACGATGATGTTAGATTGGGGCGTTAATGTGGGGATATTGTTGGTGGCAGAGAAATCTAGCCCTGTTGAAAATGTTAACAATAAACTAAGTATTTCCGCATGTTTGTTAAAAGAATACACTACCAGTTAGCAGGTCGATATTAGACTCTTTGTTGCAAGGAACATTCTGTTGGAGCGCAGTATTGGAGTTAACTTGAGGAGAACTCGTTGGGTAAGTATAAGACCCGGTGGCCACAGTTGAGGCATAATTCAGCTGGTTGTAACCATAGACACTACCATAGGAATTGTCGGTTGGCGTTTGCGTATTTGTGGTCGTAGAAGTAGCAGCTTGAGGAAAATCAATTTAATGAACTCTAAACATTCACTGAAAAACGGCATTTGCAGTTTTCTTACCACTTGATGAGGGAAAACCGGTCTCAGATGTACCAGTAGACATGCTGGCCCCAATCGATCCAGTTTGCATCTTGTACGGATCCCCTGTAGGTGAGGAGTAAGTGGAATAGTTGCTGTAAGTGCCCGTATTTGGGGCTACAGATGACGAGTGTTGCTGAGTGTAGTAGCCCTGATTATGGCGCGAAATTTCATATGTATTCAATGAAGACGCCTATAAGAAATGCGTTAGCTGAGTTGGTTTACTTTGATTATTCAAAGGCTAGGTGTGCTTTAATTGAAATTAATACGTATCTAGAAAACTGTTGAATTATCTAGAGTATAAAAGCTGGTCTGGGACTCACATTAACTGGGTTGAAATAATTGGGCGCATATCCTTTGGGGAAATACGCTTGTTGAGCACTTTGCTGTGGATTGGTCGAATAACCCGAACTTGGATACTGCTGATAACTGTAGGATTGAAGCCCTTAAAAATGTTTCACTTTAGGTATTGATTGCCCATTTTAAACACTCGACGACCATTTAAAGCTTTAAATGGTTCTTGCTCACCTGCACTTGGATTGCTAGCAGAATTCTGAGTAGCAACCGGTTGTGTTGATGTGGGTGCTTGAACCCCATACGATTGCGGCGCAGAAACTGGAGGATTCTGAGTATTTGAACCATAACTCACAGGAACATTTCCCGCGTTCCCATAACTGCTTGCAACTTGAGTAGGGAACTGTGTGCCGTACCCCGAAGAACCCATTTGCTGCATGTACAGCTGTTTCTGGCCCTGTTCAACCGGGTTCTGAGTCTGCTGGCTGTAAACTTGCTGTTGAGGTTGCGGCAGAGTTTGAGCGCTTTGTACATTTCCAGCGCCTTGATACTGCAGATACTGTTCTTGTGGATACTGCTCTTGAACATACTGCCGCTGCTGATTGCTTCTGGGCGCTGAATCCGGTTGCGCGGCTGGTTTATACGAGGTCGCCTGGTTGTAGGCCCCATTCTGATACCCGGTGTTTGGAGCCGGATTCTGTAGCGTACTATCTGGATATTGCATGTGAGTCAAAGTGTCATTGCCTTGAGCCGCATTGGGCATGTAGCTAGAAATCGTTTGATAGGACATCGTCGTTAATGTGGAAGCTTTACTGGCATCATGAACTGTCGGCGTTTGAGCTCTTTGAACGTCGGTATAGTGCTGCGATTGAAGCGTATACGGCGTCGGATTGTAGTTTTGAGGCGTGTAGCTGCTGTACAAATACTGTGAACTAATGTCTTGCTGTTTAGCATACAACGCATTCATGCGGTTTGTTAAATGCTCCAAAGCCTCACTAGTAGCGGCCTGCTGACTTGAGTAGTTGTTTGGAGCAACTTTATTAGACATCCCCGATTGTCCATAGTTTTGGTACAACTGCTGCTGTTGATAATAAGCGGCGTTTACAGCCGCCTCGTTTTGCATGCGGGGAACTGGATCGGTGGATATTTCTGAGCCTACTGGCGTCGGTCTGACTCCGAGAGGCCAGTTTTGAGTGTCGCTCACGTTATGAGACAAACCCTAAAAAAAGCATTAAAGGCATAAGATGTGATATTATTTTAAGTCTTGGATGGCATTAGTAATTCTCACCCCGTAGTTCGTCGGTAAAGTCGAATACCCTGTCACTGCCCCAGCTTTTTTTCGGGCTTCTAGATAGTCCTTCAGCTTGGGTGCAGAGGCAGTAGTACTGACTGGATTGATCGGGGCTTCCTCTTTCTTCGGCACATTCTTAGCCAACATTTGTTCTCTTTCCTCCTGCTGCACTTTGGTAGCGCTCTTAATTTTCTGCAGCAACTTGGAGACATTCATGTCGAGTTTAGTGTAGAATTCAGTGCCTATATCAAACAATTATTTTTAATTTAATTGGATTGCATCTAAAAACCTGCAAACCTTTGACGGCTTTAGCCAACAGATCGTCATATGAATCATGGGAAACTATCAAAGCCTGGATAGTGGAGGATCTTTTCTGAATAATGTCCTGAATGTACCGTCTGGTATTGACGGTTTTTGCGTAGCAATCCACAAACGCTTTCTTGATGTTATCTTGCGCCACTAGGTTTTGATTCAAGACTTCAATCTATAAATGTAAAAGACACGACAATCTAATCAAATTCTCAGTGATTAAAAATACTTACCAAATGATTATGTTTCTCCATTTGGGTTTTGAAAACTTCCTCCAATGGTTCGTGGGGCTGTTTGGTCACTAAGGCATTGGTGATGTCGTCATTGTGAATTGCGTCCCTTAATTGAGCCCACAACATGACCCGTTGAGTTTTCATTTCGTCCACTTTGGAGCTGAGAAGCTCCAATTCTTTTACAGCGTTCTGATCTATATTGGCTGCAACAAAAACACAGCTTAACTGACTGAAGAGAATCTCTAAGTAAATTAATTACGTTTTTCAGGAAACAATAAAACCATTTTTCTTCTAGTTAATTACTTACGATTGGGCAATTCTACACTCGGCAATCGCTGCTGCAGCTCCCTAATGGGCCTTTGGAGAATCTTCAAGTTTTCCAGATGAGTCATCACCGCTTTGCTGAGAGTTTCATTGGACTCCTTGGCTTTGTTATGGGCTTCTTTGTATTTAGAGGCTTCCCTTGCAAAATCCGTTGTTATAATACTGGATGGTCTCTTACCCATGACTTCCTGATAACTTTTTTCATTGTCTTCGTCCTCCTGTGAAATCAATAGTTAAGAGGCAAATGTATTTGTATTGTTTGAGCTTACTTTAAGTAGCGCATCGATATCCCCGAGGTTGGCCTCAACGTCATGGCAAATATTTGAAAGCATGCACATCGAATCGATTAGATCTTGAATAGCTGCAGGTTTGGCTGATAACGACGCCGCTCTATCGATTAACTCTTGCGGGATCCCAGTTGCTTGGTGCATCTTAGTGAGCAAATCCAGTTGCATGGACGACATAAATTCCACTAAGGCTTGATCTCTTATCTCCATTTGTTGCCCAATATTTCGCAAAATTTCTGCCTTTTTCTCGCTGTAAACCGAAGCAGCTTCGTGGGCTTCCATGGGAACTAAGCGGGCAAATATGTCGGGACCGGATACCTAAAAGTTGGCCCCACTTAGACGGTTTAATGGCTTGGGATAGTTACTACTTACTTCTGGATCATTAATATCGAACTCAATTCCTTTCACCAAAGTTGCGCCTTTCACTTCTTGCAAACTTGCAATATCGGGAACTTCCTCATGGTAAATGAATTCGTTTTCGTTTTTGGCAGCTTTCCTTTTGCCTTCCACAACGTCTGTCGTAAAGGCTAAAGCATCTGCCAATTCTTTTTGCTGAAATGATTTATTTTTCTTTAAATCACTACAATTGCGGTACTTGGACGAAGCTCTACCTGTTTGCTGCTCAAATATTTGCTGGCTTCCTGCAGACTATCGCAAGCGCCTTGATAAAACGCCACCCTTTCGCCCATTTTCTGCAACTCTTCGGCCTGCTGTCCTTGAAAGAGCAAAGAGATGCATCGGTGATAAGCAATTTTAAATTGCAAATATTTCATCCAGTCCTTGTATCTGTTGCGCCCCACTGAATCGTCACTGATCGACTTCAGGCCGCTTAACGCCTGCCGATAGTAGTCCCATACCTGAACTGCTACTTTAGCTGCAGGAAATTAACTATTAGTTGGATAAAAGTTGACAAATGGTTGCCCCTTACATATAATGGTGGATTTTCTGTTGTCCAGCATGCTTTTTTCGAGAATGCATTCCTGTGCTTGAGCTAAGCAGAGCTGCTTGTAAAAATGTGGAACTTCTGGGAATGTTAGGTAGGATAACACGGAGTATCTTTCCTTAAGAGTCTGGAAATACCACATTGCATATATGTGCTAACGATGAGGTTGGTGAGGTTTGAAAATTTTACCTGAAAAACCCAAATAGCGCACTGAAAATGGGAGCAGGCCAGCTTCATGCCTTCCGGGTTGGTCCTTGAATCTTGCGCCCCTAAAACGGTATGCAGGACGCCAATATTGTGCAAAATAGCCATTAATTCGAATTCAATGCCGCCAGACGATGAGCCGTTCTGACTGTCTTTCCTGGGAAGCAGAGCAGATAATTGCAGTGCATTTTTGAATTTCTAAATGAAGCGTACCATTCAAACTCAATGAAGCAGGGCTGTCCAGGTTCCATAGGAAAGCGCGATTTTAGGAAATGCAACTGGCAGTAATACTTCTTAAGGGTTTCCAGTCCAGACACGTTCAGGGTTGGATGAGCGGCACTCGCTCGAAGAGCATCGAGCTTGCTGATTTCAGCCGTATATGACTCAGGATCTTCATGGTAAAAAGCTGCAATGTACTGAAGATGGAAACACATCTTTATCAGTTAGTTTCTAGCCAATTGAAGCTGAAGATAGTTAAAGTTTTGTACCTCTTTCAACTTCTTTCCAAACTGCACAGTCTCTTGACTAACGAAGAGACCAAAGCTGATCATGGGCAGACGAGGGGCTGCCTCCATATTTACGTCCCCTGCTACTTAACGGGGCACTCAACTAAACCACAACATAATGAATCATCAAAGATAAGTGACAATAATATTGCTAGTTAACAAATACAACTAATGTTAGCCTATGTTAGTGAAGCCTTATAAGAATGTGCTTTGTGCTTTTGCCCGATGAAAATCAAGAGCACTTACCTGTTCGGCGTTACCTTACAGGCGACAGTGGACTAAACAGAAGTACCACAGCTTTAAAATAAACAACGAATTTTTACAATGAAATGAAAATCCTAAATATTATGGTTGTTTTCGATTCAGTTGACAATGACAAATGAGTGTTGTTAATGTCAGCCAGCAGATATCGGATTCGGATAATAAGTTATCGGCTAGATACCTGTAAGCTGCTGCAGAAACTTTTTAGTTGGAGGTGATAAGTAGAGAGGCCGCCAGTGAAAGATTTTCGGTGGGATTTTTACAAAGCTCTTGACCAGAGAAATAAAACATTTTTAAGCTGTTTCGAATTTTAAAGTTGCGCTTGAAATTTTATTCAATTTAGTGCCTGATTTTTGCTGATTTGCAGGAAACTGGTCAGGGCACCAAGTGGGCCATGGAAGGACATTTGAAACCTGTCAAGGACAGCTCAACTTTGACAATTTTAAGTGGGCCTTTTGAGGCAAATTTCAGTTTTCCGGATTAAATTTTTGTGAAAAAAACCATTTTACTTTTTATTATTACCGCTGTTCTGGACTTGAAGCTTTGAAGATGCTAGGGATCACCAGATCTCCAGATCCAGTGAGAAAACCACACACGAAAAATGTTCGCATAAGAGACAAGTAAGGTTGAACCTAATTATTCTTCTATTAATGTAAAACTATTATCTGTATTTTTATATTTTTACCAGTTTTATTTTGGTTGATTTTTATTTTGCGATAAGCATGTTTTCTTGGATCGAAGGAAAGCAACAAAAGTAAAATGAAAGTAATGTATCAATGCAAATTGCTATATCTAACTGTATTTCTACACAATAGACTAATCTGTGGATGAACGAAAATACTTTTCTATCAATGTAAAACTATTAACTGCATTTTGTTGTTGTGACCATTATTAAAATTTGTAATTGCTTATAGAATTTTTGTTAAGAGCACATTGCGAAACACTTTAATTGATCGAGAACAAAATGAAAGGGCAAAAGCCACAGAGCGGGAACATGTAAGGAATATAAAATAATAAGTGCAGTTTTTTAGATAAAGGTTTGTGTTTTATCTCACAGTCACACATCATTGCGACAACGGCAAAAATGCTGAAAGTGTTAATTTAGATTTTTAGTCCGTAGTTATAAGTTATATTTTAATTTATTTATTATCCATTTAATTAGTTTTAGATTAGTTGTAAGTAACTCTTGTTGTTGAAAAATTACATCAGTAAATACTTAAATATGTGAATAAACTAATAAGATGAAATAAAGGATCGTTTTTCTTTCGTTACATTTATGTATGTATATTCCCTGAACATACCATAAACATTCACTGAACATACACATGTACATTCACTGAACATACCATGTACATTCCCAGAACATACCATGAACATTCAGTGTATTAACTCTGACAGATTCCTGGGACATACATGGAATGCTCATAACGAAACTCATGTATGTCCCAGGAATATGCATGTACATCACATGAATGTTCCAGGTATATTCTGAGAATATCATTTTGCTATGTGGTTGAAAATTTAAACATGTGTTACATGTAGGTAAATTGATGGGGATTTACTTTCTACTGTATACTCCAAGAATGTTCAGTTATGAAATTATTTAGATCAGAGGTATTTAGATCTATTAATTTTGTCCTCAAGAAAATCAAGCTCTGATTTCCCCGTATATTGAAAAACTGTTTTAAAATGTGCGTCTTTTATGCGCCAATAATTTTCATAGAAAGTAATTTCTTCTAAGATTGATATTTATTGAGCAACCGGGTGTAAAACTAGTCTAGTGACAGAACTAGGTCAGTAAACAGAGTAAACAGAACTGGCTGAATGGTTGCTAGAAGGTCTATTCCAGCTGTTCCACCACTGTTTCCTTTCGCTTTCAGATAAAAGCGAGGACGGCGACGGCTGCCCCTGGCCCGCGACGCCCTTTTCCCTTCGGCCGCCCGCCGCCCTGCTGCATCCACCCCTGACGCAGCGCACCCTCTCTGCAAAAAGCGACGCTCGTCCGTCGCACTACAAGGTGATCAAGGGGCGCCATCGGACATGCGCCGAATAGGTGCAAGACCATCGGCCCAACTACACTACACACTAAAATTGATTGTTTTCCGAGAAATGCACTTCTGAGCTGTCCTGGTTCCTTGTCCATTCCGGATTCGCTTGTCCATGTTGTGATAATTGTGATACCGTAGTTTAGGGATGTAATTCCGGCGGCGCGGATTGTACCTTGAAGTTGGCCGTGCATCCATGGGGAGGTAGAGGAAATCGTGATCCAGAGACCGGAAGGACGAGGTGCATCTTTTAAGGTAGGTGACCTAATTTACAAGTGTCTTTTTATGCGTTTTTATTCACCCCCACTTTAGGGTACTTTTTCAAGTTTTTCCTGGGTTTTCACTTTATCTACTGTCTGTTTAAACAGCAATTTGTTGAACATTGAGCGCTTTTTTGCTTCATGAAGTCAAGCTGTTGCTTTTTGAAGAAAATCGCCTGTCGCCCCAGTTTCCCTCGTCACTTTCGCTTTCGCTGGAGGACAAAGACATTGATTTTGCGAATTGCAAGTTGCATGCAATTGCTCCTGCTATTGATTTTTCAAATTTATTCAGAGGGTTTAATTCATTTCGGTTCTCTGCTTCATTTTTCATGAAATAAAAATGCCATTACTCCACTTATACGAATGGCTTTGCAAACAAATTGCTATTGAAATGAAAATTGAACTTGCAAATGCAACAGATCTGTCTAAAGTCAAGAAACAATTATTTGGAGTTTTCTTTTTGATGATGATAACAAAGTCATAGACTAACATAAACGAACAGAAATAGTACGAAAAAGGAGCAAAATTTACGATTGCTAGCGCAAAAACCTGCACCTGACGTTTTTTCTTGCTTCCAAACTCTACCGCTCAGAAATAGTACTGAGGATGAGCCGTAAAGCTGACTTCTAATGCAAATACTCGAATACTTATTCGTAAAGTTTGGACTTTTTGACCATGAAAGAAATATTTCCCACCACCAAGACACAGAAAGTGCTCAGAAAAATATCCTCGTTTCGTATTTACGGAATAGTCAAAGAATTTCTTTAATGCGCTTAGGAATCGTGTGATAAATCTCCGAAACAGACGATTTTTCGAGTAGTAGCACCGTTTTGAGCATTTTTTAAATATAACTTTTCAAAACAAAAGACTTACGGTCGCTTATTCTGCAGAGCTCAGAATGGATATTATTATATGGCCTTTGAAAATTAACATAAAAGTTCATCAAACTAACAACAAATTATGGGTATTTATAAATAGCAAAGGTACTTTTTAATTTTTAAAAGCTTTTTCGCATACTAGATTAATACGAAAACCCTTAACGCATATTCACAAATTTAATTATTTGCCAATAACCAAATTTTTTTACTTTAGAGTCACACTTCGTATAAAAATCACTTTTTGACCAGTTTTTCCCATAATTTTCATTTTTATTGGAGGAAAAAACATTGGATTTGAGAATTTTCCAGTGCATATTTCGTTTTCTGCAACCTTTCGTGCTTTTTCACCTCTACATATTTACAATAAATTGCTATTGATGGGAAAATTGAATCGACAATTTCAACTTGAACATTTGCGAGACAGAGAACAAACTCGAGAAACAGACAAATTTTAAAACAAAGTCATAAAATGTCTTGGTGGCTCAGAAACCGTGTGGTAAATCGGCGGAAAAGCCGACTTTAAGTGAAGTTACCTCATTTGGAGGATTTTGATCGAAATAACTTTTGCAAAAAAAACTAAGTCACATACTTATTCCGCAGAACCCAGAATGATCTTTAAACAAATCGGTCATAAAATGCCTTGGGGCTCAGAAATAGTATAGTGGATGAGCTTTCGTGCTCAGTCAATGTTGAGCGTAAAAACCTCTCTCTAACAATTTATTTGGCTGTTCCTCTTTACGTTTGGGATTTTAAACTTTTGAGCACATTTTTTCCCAAAAAAAATTATTGTTTGGTATGGATGACATAGAAAAAATTGTTGAAACGCTCAGAACTCGTATGATAAATAAACTCACAGTCGATTGCAAGTGAATTAAACGGTTTTAAGCCATGCTTTTGTGGAAGGCTTGTACGGTTTGGCTGTTTTTTAAATACCTAAGTGGTTGAGCTCAAAATTGGTATGATTCTACAATAAATCGGCTATTGGGAGTAAAAAACAGAATGTGGCTGCAAAATGACGCTACAATAGTCCAATACTTAAAATCCAAAATTTTAGATGTTCAATATGTGAAATTTGGCATTAAATCACAGGCAATCCTTCAACAGCTTTACTAATTTAACAAACTCAATTCTTTATATTCTAAAAATTGGTGACACGTGTATATGGAAGAAAATCCGCTCAATTAGGGCGCTATTAAAGTTCATAATTATATTTTTTGAGGCATTTTAATATTCTGGTCCACCCTATAGATGCAGTTAAAAAATATGCACATCTGATCTGTTAAATGCATCTTAGGAGCGACGAGAACCGAAACAGTTCAGTACTGTATGTAAATCAACTTTTTTTACAACAGGTTTGGTCCATTGTCCACCTCAAATATGCAAATTTTGGTCATTTTACCTTGACATCAGCTATTTTAAATGCACCCCTCGGATGTTACGATGCATAGAAGTAAAATGTCATCATATTTTTAATTTTTATACATTTTTTAATTTCATGTGTATTTGTATATGATTAAATTTATTTTTAAAGCAAAAGCACTAAAATGACTATTGCAGGAACAAATAGATAGTTGGGTTTACTTTTTACATTTTACAAGAGGAAATAAAAGTTTCCTCAAACTATCGAAAATGTTATTTTGCATATTACAGGATCAGACTTTATAAGTCTGGAAAGATTTACACGCAAACAAGAATTTTTTTAAGCTTCAAGGAGCGTTCGGATTCTTCCATTCAAATTTAACGGCATTACCTCCAAATTAAATAAATAATAGACAAAAAATAATAATACAGGAACTTGAGTGAATATTGCTCGAATCCACAGAATTAATCAAAGTACTTGTTGGTAGAAAGAAGGTAGAAAGAATGTGCACAATGTGAGTGTGAAGTGAAATTTGGACACCGAAACCGCAAAACGCAGCATACAAATTTGCCAGGCGGTATTGATTAA